ATCCCCGATCCATCCCCGATCCATCCCCGATCCATTCCCGATCCATCCCTGATCCATCCCTGATCCATCCCCGATCCATCCCCGGTCCCTTCCCGGTCCATTCCCGGTCTATTCCCGTTCATTCCTGGTCCATTCCCGGTCCCGCAGCACTGAGCATCCCCCGGGTGCGGGGCTGGAGCCAGCACGGCCCCGCTGGTGTGGCCAAAATGGGGTTTGAAAGAAGGGATGGAGATTTAGAATATAAAAGCGGAAGAAATATAGGGAAAAATATATACTCTATATTTTTATATAAAATAAAAATAAATATATATTCTATATTTCTATATAGGAGAAATATATTCTATATTTCTATATAGGAGAAATAGATATTCTATATTTCTATGTAGAAGAAGAAATACTCTATATTTTTATATTTATATAGAAGAAGAAATATATATTATTATACTTTTGTATAGAAGAAGAAATATATAGTCTATATTGCTATATAGAATAAATATATTCTATACTTTTATATAGAAGAAATACATATTCTATATTTTTATATAGAAGAAATAGATCTATATTTTGATACAGAGGAATAAATAGATATTCTATACTTTTATATAGAATAAGAAATATGTAGTCTATATTTCTACATAAATACACTATATATAGAAGAAATGTATACTCTATATTTTTATATAGAAGAAGAAATAGATCTGTATTTTTTATATAGAAGAAATATATATTCTATATTTTGATATAGAAGAAATAGATATTCTATCTTTTGATATAGAAGAAGAAATAGATATTCTGTATTTCTATATAGAAGAAATAGATCTATATTTTTATATAGAAGAAATGTATATTCTATATTTTTATATAGAAGAAGAAATATATATTCTATATTTCTATATGGAAGAAGAAATAGATATTCTATATTTTGATATAGAAGAAGAAATAGATATTCTGTATTTCTATATAGAAGAAATAGATCTATATTTTCATATAGAAGAAAATTATATTCTATATTTTTATATAGAAGAATAGATCTATATTTTTATATAGAATAAAATATTTTTATATAGAATTTTTATATAGAATTTATATAGAATAAATAAATAATAATATTTTTATATAGAATAAAATATATATTTTTATATAGCTTCTTTCACCATCACTGTGCTCTGTTTGGAGCTGCCACCTCCCTGTCACCATTTCTGGGGACAAACTGTGACAAACCAATCCCAGTGTGCTCTGTTTGGAGCTGCCACCTCCCTGTCACCATTTCTGGGGACAAACTGTGACAAACCAAGCCCAGTGTGCTCTGTTTGGAGCTGCCACCTCCCTGTCACCATTTCTGGGGACAAACTGTGACAAACCAATCCCAGTGTGCTCTGTTTGGAGCTGCCACCTCCCTGTCACCATTTCTGGGGACAAACTGTGACAAACCAATCCCAGTGTGCTCTGTTTGGAGCTGCCACCTCCCTGTCACCATTTCTGGGGACAAACTGTGACAAACCAATCCCATTTGGAGCAATCCCCACCCCCTGAGATGTCCCAGCTCACCAAATCCAGGGCTGAGCATCGCCCTGGGTGTCCCCAACTCCTGTCCCCTTTGTCACCCACCCCAAACCCGGCTCCGGCAGGATGAAATCCGTCCCTCTCAGAATCCTTCCCGTGGCCCCAAGGAATGTGTGTCCTTGTCTGGGAAGGAATTTCTGGCAGCAGCAGCGAGAGCAGGGAGCTCTGGCAGCACCCAGCACATTTTTTGGGAGGTGGTGCCAAGCTTTAGCACAAACACGAGCTGGAACAGCGTGTCCCTGCCTGTCCCCTCAGGGTCCCTGCGTGGCCTCCGGGCCTTGGGAATTCCCAGGTTTTTTGGGAAAATCCAAGGGAGGGGCACACCCAGAGAGCTGCAGGGGAAAAGCTCAGGGCTGAAAATCCCACAGGTGGGACACGGCACCCCCCGTGCACCCCAAAATGAGCCTGAGGGGTGGCACTGGGGACAGGGGTGTCACAGTGGGGCAGAGTGGAAGGATTTGCAGCTGGAGCAAAGATTTGGGTTGGTAAAATCCCTGCCCGGTGCCCACCAGCGCCTCTGTGAGCCCACACATTTGGGGGGTGTCCCCACACATTTTGGAGCTGTCCCCACACATTTGGGGGCTGTCCCCACACATTTGGAGGGTGTTCCCACATGTTTTGGGGCTGTCCCCACACGTTTTGGGGTGTCCCCACATATTTGGAGGGTGTCCCGACATGTTTTAGGGCTGTCCCCACACATTTGAATGGTGTCCCCACACGTTTTGGGGCTGTCCCCACACATTTGGGGGGTGTCCCCACACGTTTTGGGGCTGTCCCCACACGTTTGAATGGTGTCCCCACACGTTTTGAGGTCTCCCCACACGTTTTGGGGCTGTCCCCACATGTTTGAATTGTGTCCCCACACATTTTGGTGTCTCCCCACACGTTTGGGGCTGTCCCCACATGTTTGGGAGCTGTCCCCACACGTTTGGTGGCTGTCCCCACATGTTTTTGGGGCTGTCCCCACATGTTTGGGCAGCTGTCCCCACACGTTTTGGGGCCTGTCCCCACACATTTGAATGGTGTCCCCACATGTTTTTGGGGCTGTCCCCTCCCTCTGTCCCCCCCAGCACAGGGACAACCCCCAGAGCAGCAATGCCCCTTTGCATCCTTGGTTTTATTTCCCTTTTTTTCGGGAGTTGAATAAAAAGCAAGCACAGCAGTCCAGAAGAGGTGAACATGTAAAAAAATTATATATATATATATATATATTTTATATATATTTGTTACCTATTTACAACATGGCTGAGACAGGCAGCACGAGGGTGTGCAGCCACCGCCCCAAGCAGGTCACACAGGGGCTGGGGGCCACAGCAGGACCCTGTGGGGACAAGGGACAGCTCCCAATGCCACCACACTCCTTGTCCCTGCCCCAGAGGGTGGCAGGAGCAGCCCCAGGGATTTTTCTCACGGGAGGATCCAGGAAACACCTGAAGGCAGAGCCACATTCCAGCACACCCTGGGCAAACACAGCAGGGCAGTGACACAGGTGACACAGGTGACACACACAGGGGGAAAACCCTGCTGGGCATCCTTCACTCCTGCCTGCCCTGCTTTGGTCCTTGGGGCTGAAATTGGGGCAGGTTTTGGGGCACAGCTGTGCCCGCACTTGGTTTTTTTTTTGTTGTGATATTGTTGTCAGTTTGGGGGTGGTTTTTCCTTGAGGCAAAGAAAAGACAAGAAGGGGAAAAAAAAGGGAAAAAATGAAAAAGAAATCAAATTTTGGGATGCCCTGGCACAGCTGTGCCCACACTTGTCCCTGCATGGAGAAGTGACACCAGGGCAGCAGGAGGGGACAGTGCCACCCCAAACCCTGGCTCTGCAGGTTCTAAGGTTTGGGGTTTTTTGTTGTGATTTTGGTGTTAATTTGGGGTGGTTTTTCCTTGAGACAAAGAAAATACAAGAAGGGAAAAAATAAGACAAAAAGAAATCAAAGTTTGGGATGCCCTGGCACAGCTGTGCCCACACTTGTCCCTGCATGGAGAATTGACACCAGGGCAGCAGGAGGGGACAGGTTTTCTCCCTCTGGTCAAGCTCAGCCAAGCCCTTCTGGTTTTATCCCTCTGGCCAAATTCAGCCAAACCCCTCTGGTTGTGTCCCTTTATCCAAATTCAGTCAAACCCTTCTGGTTGTGTCCCTTTATCCAAATTCAGTCAAGCCCCTCTGGTTGTGTCCCTTTATCCAAATTCAGCCAAACCCCTCTGGTTTTGTCCCTCTGGTCAAACTCAGCCAAGCCCACCTGGCCAAATTCAGTCAAGCCCTTCTGGTTTTATCCTTCTGACCAAATTCAGTCAAGCCTCTCTGGTTTTGTCCCTCTGATCAAACTCAGTCAAACCCCTCTGGTTTTCTCCATCTGGCCAAATTCAGCCAAGTCCCTCTGGTCAAGCTCAGCCAAACCCCTCTGGTTTTGTCCCTTTAGCCAAATTCAGTCAAGCCCACCTGGCCAAATTCAGTCAAGCCCTTCTGGTTTTATCCTTCTGTCCAAATTCAGTCAAGCCCCTCTGGTTGTGTCCCTTTATCCAAATTCAGCCAAACCCCTCTGGTTTCATCTCTCTGGCCAGATTCAGCCAAGCCCTTGTGGTCAAATTCAGTCAAGCCCTTCTGGTTTTGCCCCTCTGACCAAATTCAGCCAAGCCCACCTGGCCAAATTCAGCCAAACCCCTCTGGTTTTGTCCCTTTGATCAATTCAGCAAAACACCTCTGGCCAAGCTCAGCTAAGCCCTTCTGGTTGTGTCCCTTTAGCCAAACTCAGTCAAACCCCTCTGGTTTTATCCCTCTGGTCAAGCTCAGCCAAGCCCTTCTGGCTTTGTCCTTCTGACCAAATTCACCCAAGCCCCTCTGGTTGTGTCCCTTTAGCCAAATTCAGTCAAGCCCTTGTGGTCAAATTCAGCCAAGCCCCTCTGGTTGTGTCCCTTTTAGCCAAATTCATCCAAGTCCCTCTGGTTTTGTCCTTCTGACCAAGCTCAGCCAAGCCCCTCCAGCTGAGGTGGGGCTCTGCCCCCAAAGCACCCCAAGATGTTTCAAACCCTGCCCAGCCCCTGTCCCAACCCCTCTGGGAATGTTAAATGTTGTCTCCCTCGTGAGCTGAGCCTGGGACAGATCTCAGCTCAGCCCAACAACACCCCTGCTCCTGGTGTTTATTATCCTGAGATTAAAAAAAAATTTTTTTTTTTTTTTTTTTTATCTCAGCCAATTTCTTCACTTTGAAGCTCTAAAGCTCACAGCTGACTGTGCCTTCAGGGCTGGGATCACACCTGTGAGATCTGGGATTACATCTGTGAGACCTGGGACCACAACTTCCCAATCTGGGACCACAATTTCCAAATCTGGAATCACAATTTCCAGATCTGGGATCACAATTTCCAGATCTGGGATCACAATTTCCAAATCTGGAATCACAATTTCCAAATCTGGGATTACAATTTCCAAATCTGGAATCACAATTTCCAAATCTGGGATTACAATTTCCAGATCTGGGATCACAAATTCCAGGTCTGAGATCACACTTTCCAAATTTAAGATCCCACTTTACAAATCTGGGATCACGCTTTCTAAATCTAGGATCACAATTTCCAGAGCTGAAATCACTTTCCATATCTGGGATCACTCTTTCCAAATCTGGGATCACAACTTCCAGATCTGGGATCACAATTTCCACATCTGGCATCACATCTTCCATATCTGGGATCACTCTTTGCAGATCTGGGATCACACCTGCCAGATCTGGGATCACACTTTCCAAATCTGGGATCACAATTTCCACATTTGGGTTCACACCTGTGAGATCTGGGATCACAATTTCCAGATCTGGGATCACTTTTCAGACCTGGGATCACAATTTCCATATCAGGGATCACACCTGTGAGATTTGGGATCACACTTTCCAGACCTGGAATCACATTTTACAAATCTGGGATCACACCTGCCAGACCAGGGATCACTTTTCAGATCTGGGATCACAATTTCCAGATCCAGGATCACAATCTCCAGATCTGGGATCACAATTTCCAGATCTGGGATCACCATTTCCACATCTGGGATCACAATTTCCAGACCTGGGATCACACCTGTGAGATGTGAGATCACTCTTTCCAAATCTAAGATCACTTTTCAGATCTGGGATCACAATTTCCAGATCTGGGATCACTTTTCAGATCTGGGATCGCCATTTCCAAATTCAGGATCACAATTTCCAGATCTGGGATCACAATTTCCACATCTGGGATCACAATTTCCAAATCTGGGATCACAATTTCAAGATGTGGGATGACTCTTTGCAGATCTGGGATCACAATTTCCAGATCTGAGATCATTCTTTGCAGATCTGGAATCACTCTTTCCAAACCTGGGATCACAATTTCCACATCTGGCATCACACCTTCCATATCTGGGATCACTCTTTGCAGATCTGGCATCACACCTGTCATAACTGGGATCACTCTTTCCAAATCTGGGATCACAATCTCCAGATCTGGGATCACACCTGCCAGATGTGGAATCACTCCCTGCAGATCTGGGATCACTTTTCAGATATGGGGTCCCTCTTTCCAAATCTGGGATCACAATTTCCACATCTGGGATCACTTTCCAGATCTGGGATCACACCTGCCAGACCAAAGATCACAATATCCAGATCTGGGAACACTCTTTGCAGAGTTGGAATCACTCGTTCGAAATCTGGGATCCCACTTTCTAAATCTAGGATCACAATCTCCAGATCTGGGATCACAATTTCCAGATGTGGGATCACTTTTCAGATCTGGGATCACAATTTCCACATCTGGGATCACAATTTCCAGATCTGGGATCACACCTGTGAGATGTGAGATCACTCTTTCCAAATCTAAGATCACTTTTCAGATCTGGGATTGCCATTTCCAAATTCAGGATCACAATTTCCAGATCTGGGATCACATCTTCCATATCTGGGATCACAATTTCCAGATCTGGGATCACTCTTCGCAGATCTGGAATCACTCTTTCCAAACCTGGGATCACAATTTCCACATCTGGCATCACACCTTCCGTATCTGGGATCACTCTTTGCAGATCTGGGATCACACCTGTCATAACTGGGATCACTCTTTGCAGATCTGGGATCACAATTTCCATATCTGGGATCACTCTTTGCAGATCTGGGATCACAATTTCCATATCTGGGATCACAATTTCCAGATCTGGGATCACTCTCCTGCCCCGCTGGCTCAGTCTCTGCTTCCCCAACCCCTGCAATCCCTCCCCACCCCTCAGCCCTGCCCTGTCCCCTCCTCCAGGTGCTGTCCCAGCCAGGAAGGGGGCACAGCTCCAGTGCCTCTGAGAGCCGGGATGGTTCCAAACAGCAGCAAAAATTAAGGCAAAGCCTCTCTGGGAGGAAGGGCCAGCCCAACCCTGCCCCCACAAGTCACCTTTGGGGTGTGTTTGCCGCAAAGACTCAAACAAACTACGTGGATTCTGCTGCTCCCATCCCTATGGTACGGTGAAGTTCAATCCATTTAGCCAAAAAAAAAAAAAAAAAAGAGACAGAAAGAGGGCAGCCCCCAGCTGGGAGTGCAGCTACCCTGCCAGCTTGCTGGTGACCAGGGAGGATTTCCTCTGGGGCAGGTCCTGGGGCGTGGGGATGTGGTCTCCGGTCACCAGGTTCTTGTCAGGCCCTGCACTGGGCAGCTGCTTGTTCTTCATCTTGGCCTTGGCCATGTTGTAGTCGCCAGAATCGAAATATTTTTGCTGCAAGGGGGAGAAATGTTTGGGTTATTGGGAGGGAAGCAGGAGCAGGGGGAGAGCAGAGCCATGGGGAAAAAAAAGAAATCCAAGCTTGGGATGCCCAGCACTTTCAAAGCACAGGTTTGCCTCAACACCCTTCAAATCCCACCTTGTCTCTGGTGCTTTTTACCCCTTTATACCATTCTCTTTATCCTTTTTATCCCTTTCCCTTTGGAGAGGGTTAAATTTGGATTGGGATTGGGTGTGCAGGAGTTAGAACTGAAATTAGGTGTGCAGGATTTGGGATTGGTGTGCAGGATTTGGGATTGGGAGTGCGGGATTTGGGATTGGGTGTGCAGGATTTGGGATTGGGTGTGCAGGATTTGGGATTGAGTTTGGGTGTGCAGGAGAAGCAGGGGGACAGCAGAGCCATGGGGAGCCTTTGGGAAGGGCTAAATTGGGATTGGGATTGGGTGTGCAGGATTTGGGATTGGGTGTGCAGGATTTGGGATTGGGATTGGGTGTGCAGGATTTGGGATTGGGTGTGCAGGATTTGGGATTGAGATTGGGTGTGCAGGATTTGGGACTGGGGTTGGGTGTGCAGGAGCTGGGAACAGCAGAGCCACGAGGAGCCTTTGGGAAGGCCTAAATTTGGATTGGGATTGGGTGTGCAGGATTTGGGATTGGATATGCGGGAGCAGGGGAACAATGATCCTTTAGGGAGCGCTGGGATTGGAATTTGGGTTGGCTGTGCAGGAGCAGAGCCACAAGGATCCCTCAGGGAGTGCTGGATTTGGGCTGGCTGTGCAGGATTTGGGATTGGGGTTGGGTGTGCAGGATTTGGGATTGGGATTGGCTGTGCAGGAGTTGGGATTGGGGCTGGCTGTGCAGGATTTGGGATTGGGGCTGGCTGTGCAGAATTTGGGATTGGGATTGGCTGTGCAGGATTTGGGATTGGGATTGGCTGTGCAGGATTTGGGATTGGGGCTGGCTGTGCAGGATTTGGGATTGGGATTGGCTGTGCAGGAGTTGGGATTGGGGCTGGCTGTGCAGGATTTGGGATTGGGGCTGGCTGTGCAGGATTTGGGATTGGGATTGGCTGTGCAGGAGTTGGGATTGGGGCTGGCTGTGCAGGATTTGGGATTGGGGCTGGCTGTGCAGAATTTGGGATTGGGATTGGCTGTGCAGGATTTGGGATTGGGATTGGCTGTGCAGGATTTGGGATTGGGGCTGGCTGTGCAGGATTTGGGATTGGGATTGGCTGTGCAGGATTTGGGATTGGGGCTGGCTGTGCAGGATTTGGGATTGGGATTGGCTGTGCAGGATTTGGGATTGGGGCTGGCTGTGCAGGATTTGGGATTGGGATTGGCTGTGCAGGATTTGGGATTGGGATTGGGTGTGCAGGATTTGGGATTGGGTGTGCAGGATTTGGGATTGAGATTGGGTGTGCAGGATTTGGGACTGGGGTTGGGTGTGCAGGAGCTGGGAACAGCAGAGCCACGAGGAGCCTTTGGGAAGGCCTAAATTTGGATTGGGATTGGGTGTGCAGGATTTGGGATTGGATATGCGGGAGCAGGGGAACAATGATCCTTTAGGGAGCGCTGGGATTGGAATTTGGGTTGGCTGTGCAGGAGCAGAGCCACAAGGATCCCTCAGGGAGTGCTGGATTTGGGCTGGCTGTGCAGGATTTGGGATTGGGGTTGGGTGTGCAGGATTTGGGATTGGGATTGGCTGTGCAGGAGTTGGGATTGGGGCTGGCTGTGCAGGATTTGGGATTGGGGCTGGCTGTGCAGAATTTGGGATTGGGATTGGCTGTGCAGGATTTGGGATTGGGATTGGCTGTGCAGGATTTGGGATTGGGGCTGGCTGTGCAGGATTTGGGATTGGGATTGGCTGTGCAGGATTTGGGATTGGGGTTGGGTGTGCAGGATTTGGGATTGGGATTGGCTGTGCAGGATTTGGGATTGGGATTGGCTGTGCAGGAGTTGGGATTGGGGCTGGCTGTGCAGGATTTGGGATTGGGGCTGGCTGTGCAGAATTTGGGATTGGGATTGGCTGTGCAGGATTTGGGATTGGGATTGGCTGTGCAGGATTTGGGATTGGGGCTGGCTGTGCAGGATTTGGGATTGGGATTGGCTGTGCAGGATTTGGGATTGGGGCTGGCTGTGCAGGATTTGGGATTGGGATTGGCTGTGCAGGATTTGGGATTGGGGCTGGCTGTGCAGGATTTGGGATTGGGATTGGCTGTGCAGGATTTGGGATTGGGGTTGGGTGTGCAGGATTTGGGATTGGGATTGGCTGTGCAGGATTTGGGATTGGGGCTGGCTGTGCAGGATTTGGGATTGGGATTGGCTGTGCAGGAGTTGGGATTGGGGCTGGCTGTGCAGGATTTGGGATTGGGATTGGCTGTGCAGGAGTTGGGATTGGGATTGGCTGTGCAGGATTTGGGATTGGGGCTGGCTGTGCAGGAGTTGGGATTGGGGCTGGCTGTGCAGGATTTGGGATTGGGATTGGCTGTGCAGGATTTGGGATTGGGATTGGCTGTGCAGGATTTGGGATTGGGGCTGGCTGTGCAGGAGTTGGGATTGGGGCTGGCTGTGCAGGATTTGGGATTGGGATTGGCTGTGCAGGATTTGGGATTGGGATTGGCTGTGCAGGAGTTGGGATTGGGATTGGCTGTGCAGGATTTGGGATTGGGGCTGGCTGTGCAGGATTTGGGATTGGGATTGGCTGTGCAGGATTTGGGATTGGGATTGGCTGTGCAGGAGTTGGGATTGGGATTGGCTGTGCAGGAGTTGGGATTGGGGCTGGCTGTGCAGGATTTGGGATTGGGGCTGGCTGTGCAGGATTTGGGATTGGGGCTGGCTGTGCAGGATTTGGGATTGGGGTTGGCTGTGCAGGATTTGGGATTGGGGCTGGCTGTGCAGGATTTGGGATTGGGGCTGGCTGTGCAGGATTTGGGATTGGGGCTGGCTGTGCAGGAGTTGGGATTGGGATTGGCTGTGCAGGATTTGGGATTGGGGCTGGCTGTGCAGGAGTTGGGATTGGGATTGGCTGTGCAGGATTTGGGATTGGGGCTGGCTGTGCAGGATTTGGGATTGGGATTGGCTGTGCAGGATTTGGGATTGGGGCTGGCTGTGCAGGATTTGGGATTGGGATTGGCTGTGCAGGATTTGGGATTGGGGCTGGCTGTGCAGGATTTGGGATTGGGATTGGCTGTGCAGGATTTGGGATTGGGATTGGCTGTGCAGGATTTGGGATTGGGGCTGGCTGTGCAGGAGTTGGGATTGGGATTGGCTGTGCAGGATTTGGGATTGGGGCTGGCTGTGCAGGAGTTGGGATTGGGATTGGCTGTGCAGGATTTGGGATTGGGGCTGGCTGTGCAGGATTTGGGATTGGGGCTGGCTGTGCAGGATTTGGGATTGGGGTTGGCTGTGCAGGAGTTGGGATTGGGGCTGGCTGTGCAGGATTTGGGATTGGGATTGGCTGTGCAGGATTTGGGATTGGGATTGGCTGTGCAGGCGCAGGGAACAGCAGAGCCACAAGGATCCCTCAGGGAGTGTTGGGATTGGGATTAGGATTGGCTGTGCAGGAGCAGGGGAACAAGGATCCCTCAGGGAGTGTTGGGATTGCTCCAAAGCCGTGGGAAGGCCATGGGAAGATGACACAAGGGGAAATGCGGGCAGGAGTTAGGCCAGGTTTAAATTAAAGGCCTTTGGCCCCCAGGCAGTGACTCAGCCCAGGCCTGACTCAGGCACCTCTGACACAGAGCTGGGACCTTTGGATGGCGGCAGCAGCCCTGACCCACTGAGCCCTGGCACGGCCTGAGGGCAGGGAGGGAGAAACCTCTGGAATGGTGGGATCATATCTGTGACAGCTGGGATTATATCTGTGACAGCTGGGATCACACCTGTGAGAGCTGGGATCACACCTGTGAGATGTGGGATCACACCTGTGAGAGCTGGGATCACACCTGTGAGATGTGGGATCACATCTGTGAGATTTGGGATCACACCTGTGAGAGCTGGGATCACACCTGTGAGATGTGGGATCACACCTGTGAGAGCTGGGATCACACCTGTGAGATGTGGGATCACACCTGTGAGAGCTGGGATCACACCTGTGAGATTTGGGATCACACCTGTGAGAGCTGGGATCACACCTGTGAGATTTGGGATCACACCTGTGAGAGCTGGGATCACACCTGTGAGATGTGGGATCACACCTGTGAGATTTGGGATCACACCTGTGAGATTTGGGATCACATCTGTGAGATTTGGGATCACACCTGTGAGATGTGGGATCACATCTGTGAGAGCTGGGATCATAACTGAGAGCTGGGATCATAACTGTGAGATGTGGGATCACACCTGTGAGATTTGGGATCACACCTGTGAGATTTGGGATCACACCTGTGAGAGCTGGGATCACACCTGTGAGATGTGGGATCACACCTGTGAGATTTGGGATCACACCTGTGAGATTTGGGATCACACCTGTGAGATGTGGGATCACACCTGTGAGATTTGGGATCACACCTGTGAGATTTGGGATCACACCTGTGAGATGTGGGATCACATCTGTGAGATGTGGGATCACATCTGTGAGATGTAGGATCACACCTGTGAGAGCTGGGATCATAACTGAGAGCTGGGATTATAACTGTGAGATGTGGGATCACACCTGTGAGATTTGGGATCACACCTGTGAGATTTGGGATCACACCTGTGAGAGCTGGGATCGTAACTGAGAGCTGGGATTATAACTGTGAGATGTGGGATCACACCTGAGAGAGCTGGGATCACATTGCCAGGTTTGGGATCACATCTGCCAGGGCTGGGATCACACCTGTGAGGGCTGGATCATAACTGTGAGATGTGGGATCACACTTGAGAGATCTAGGATCACATTTCCAAAGCCGGGATCACATTGCCAGGTTTGGGATCACACCTGTGAGAGCTGGGATTACAACTACAAGATTTGGGATCACATCTGTGAGGGCTGGGATCACACCTGTGATAGCTGGGATCACACTTTCCAGATCTGGCATCACACCTGAGAGATCTGGGATCATAACTGTGAGATGTGGGATCACACTTTCTAAAGCTGGGATCACACTTTCCAGATTTGGGATCACAGCTGAGAGGTTTGGGATCACAACTGCTCGGTTTGGGATTGCCTCTGTGAGAGCTGGGATCACACCTGTGAGATTTGGGATCACACTGCCAGGTTTGGGATCACACCTGTGAGATGTGGGATCACACCTGTGAGATTTGGGATCACACTTTCCAGGTTTGGGATCACACCTGTGAGATGTGGGATCACACCTGTGAGATTTGGGATCACACTGCCAGGTTTGGGATTACACCTGTGAGATTTGGGATCACACTTTCCAAAGTTAAGATCACACTTTCCAGGTTTGGGATCTCACTGCCAGGTTTGGGATCACACCTGTGAGATTTGGGATCACACTTTCCAAAGTTAAGATCACACTTTCCAGGTTTGGGATCACACCTGTGAGATTTGGGATCACACCTGTGAGATTTGGGATCACACTTTCCAGGTTTGGGATCACACCTGTGAGATTTGGGATCACACCTGTGAGATTTGGGATCACACTTTCCAGGTTTGGGATCACACCTGTGAGATTTGGGATCACACCTGTGAGATTTGGGATCGCACTTTCAGGGTTTAGGATCACACCTGTGAGATTTGGGATCACACCTGTGAGATTTGGGATCGCACTTTCCAGGTTTGGGATCACACCTGTGAGATTTGGGATCACACCTGTGAGATTTGGGATCGCACTTTCAGGGTTTAGGATCACACCTGCTGAGCCAGAGCCTGACAGGATCCTCTGCACTGGGATGAGGAGCCCGGCCTAGAGAGCCAGGACTTTTGGGATGAGCCTGGCCTACAGAGCCAGGACTTTTGGGGTGGTGAACCAGGATTTTTGGGATGATGAGCCAGGCCTAGACAGACAGAACTTTCAGGATGATAAGCCAGGAATTTTAGGATGAGCCAGGCCTAGAGAGCCAGGATTTATGGGGTGAGCCAGGCCTACAGAGCCAGGACTTTTGGGATGAGGAGCTGGGGGTGACAGAGCCAGGACTTCTGGGATAAGCCAGGATTTTTGGGATGGTGAACCAGGACTTTTAGGATGATAAACCAGGCCTAGAGAGCCAGGACTTTTAGGATGATAAACCAGGCCTAGAGCCAGGACTTTTGGGGCGAGCCAGGCTGACACAGGCAGGATTTATGGGGTGAGCCAGGCCTAGAGAGCCAGGATTTTTGGGATGACGAGCCAGGACTTTTGGGATGATGAACCAGGATTTTTGGGATGATAAGCCAGGCCTAGAGAGCCAGGATTTATGGGACAAGCTGGGCCTACAGAGCCAGGACTTTTGGGATGAGCCAGGCCTACAGAAACAGGATTTTTGGGATGATGAACCAGGACTTTTAGGATGATAAACCAGGCCTAGAGAGCCAGGACTTTTGGGGTGAACCAGGCCTACAGAGCCAGGACTTTTGGGATGAGGAGCTGGGGGTGACAGAGCCAGGATTTTTGGGATGGTGAACCAGGACTTTTAGGATGATAAACCAGGCCTAGAGCCAGGACTTTTGGGGTGAGCCAGGCTGCCACAGGCAGGATTTATGGGGTGAGGCAGGCCTAGAACCAGGATTTATGGGGTGAGGCAGGCCTAGAGAGCCAGGATTTATGGGGTGAGGCAGGCCTAGAGAGCCAGGATTTATGGGGTGAGGCAGGCCTAGAGAGCCAGGATTTATGGGGTGAGGCAGGCCCAGAGCCAGGATTTATGGGGTGAGCCAGGCCTAGAGCCAGGATTGATGGGGTGAGCCAGGATTTATGGGGTGAGGCAGGCCCAGAGCCAGGATTTATGGGGTGAGGCAGGCCTAGAGCCAGGATTGATGGGGTGAGCCAGGATTTATGGGGTGAGGCAGGCCCAGAGCCAGGATTTATGGGGTGAGCCAGGCCTAGAGAGCCAGGATTTATGGGGTGAGCCAGGCCTAGAGAGCCAGGATTTATGGGGTGAGGCAGGCCTAGAGAGCCAGGATTTATGGGGTGAGGCAGGCCCAGAGCCAGGATTTATGGGGTGAGGCAGGCCTAGAGCCAGGATTTATGGGGTGAGGCAGGATTGATGGGGTGAGGCAGGCTGCCACACCAGGACTGTGGGATCATAAACCAGAGTGACAAACCCAGGACTTTTGCCCCAGAGAACGAAGCCTGGCTGCTGCCAAGGCCCTTCCTGCACCATCCCAGCTCAAAGGGCATCCCAGTGCCAATCCCACATCCCACCCATCATTTAATTTAATTCCAATTTTATTTCAAATTGATGCAACTCCTCCAACTAAAATTAAAATTCTAATTTTACGCCAAAAAAATTTAAAGTTAAAATACAATTTTAATTCTTTTATTTTAAATTGATTTTTGGGGTGTAAAATTAAAATTTTAAGTTTTATTTTTCAATTTTAATTTTAATTTTTTTCCCCCCAGATTTCTCAGTTTTTTCCCCATTTTTCCCTTTCTTTTCCCATTCCCCCCCCCCATTTTTCCCCAGATTTCCCATTTATTTTTCCCATTATTTTTCCCATTATCTTTCCTTTTTATTCCCCAGATTTCTCCTTTTTTCCCATTTTTCCCTAATTTCCTGGGGTTTTTTTCCCCATTTTTCCCCAGTTTTTTCCCCATTTTTTCCCAATTTTTTCCCCCCTTTTTTCCCCATTCTTTCCCCAAACTTTCCAATTTTTTCCCTTTTTTTCCCCTTTTTTTCCCCATTTTTCCCATTTTTTCCCCATTTTCCCCCCAGGTTTCCCTTCTTTTCCCCCAATTTCCCAGGTTTTTCCCCTTTTTTTCTCAGATTTCCCCTCCTATTTCCCCCAATTTTTTCCCCATTCCTTTCCCACTTTCCTCCCATCTTTCTCCAGGTTTCCCATTTATTTTTCCCATTATTTTTCCTTTTTTTTTTCCCCCAGATTTCTCGGTTTTTTCCCATTTTTCCCCATTCTTTTCCCATTCCCCCCCCCCCCCCGTTTTTCCCCAGATTTCCCATTTATTTTTCCCATTATTTTTCCTTTTTATCCCCCAGATTTCTCCATTTTTCCCCATTTTTTCCCTAATTTCCTGGGGTTTTTTTCCCTGTTTTTCCCCATTCTTTCCCCAAACTTCCCAATTCTTCCCCATTTTTCCCCCCAAATTTCCCATTTTTTTCCCCATTTTTTCCCTATTTTTCCCCCAAATTTCCCAATTTTTCCCCATTGTTTCCCCCAAATTTCCTCATTTTTTCCCCATTTTTCCCCCAAATTTCCCCATTTTTTCCCCCAAATTTCCCAATTTTTCCCTCATTTTCCCCCCATTTTTTCCCCCATTTTTCCCCCAAATTTCCCCATTTTTTCCCCCAAATTTCCCAATTTTTCCCCCATTTTCCCCCCATTTTTTTCCCCATTTTTCCCCCAAATTTCCCAATTTTTTCCCCAATTTTTCCCCATTTTTTGGATCTCCTGTGCCCTCACTCACCCCTTTCTGCAGCCTCTTCATGAGGAAATCAGAGCCCCCGGGTTTCTGGCCCAGGTTGGGATATTTGGCCTTGAGCTTGGCCTCCTCTGCCCTCTCGGGGGAAATCCCTTTGTCCTTCTCCTGACAGTCCTAAAATACAGAAATAATCAAAATTATTCATTAAATAACATTTATATTATTTATTGCATCATTCATTTATATCTTTGAATGAAATTTAAATTTCTTTAATGAAATTTTCATTATTTTCTTATTAAGTTATATGTATGAATTAAATTAAAATTTATTTAATAAATGAAATGTTATTATTAAATTATATGAATTTAATTTCTATTTAATTAATAGAATATTGAAATCTATATATCTATTAATACCATATATCAATACATAATATATTGATAAATGTTAATATTAATACGTATTAATATTAATACAATACAATATTAATAACATTAAATATAGTATTGCAATAATATAATATTGCAATAATATAATCTATTATATTACATTATATTACATTATATTATATTATATTACATTACATTATAATTATATTATATTATATTATATTATATATTACATTACATTATATTACATTATACATTACATTACATTATATTATATAAATATAATAGCTAAATTTATTTATATTTATTAATCAAATTTAAATTTATTAAATAAAATGCACATTATTGCTGACATTATTAATTTATTTAATTAAAATTAATTTATTTAACAAAATGCACATTATTAATTTACATTTACATTCATTTCTTAAATCAAAATTTATCCATGAAAGGAAACTGACATTTTTGATTGCACTATTAATTTACATTTATTAACTGCATTAACCTTCATTTAATAAATAAAATTGGTATTAGTTATTACATTATTAATTTACACTTACAATTATTTATTAAATAAAAACTTATCTATTAAATAAAATTTACATTATTTCTTTTGGGAAGGAATTCCTGGATTTTAGGCTGAATTTTAGGAAGGAATTCCTGGATTTGGGGATCCTGGGGAGGATTTTGGGGGTCCTGGGGAGGATTTGAGGGGTCCCAGGTAGGATTTGGGGGTCCTGGGGAGGATTTGGGGGTTCTGGGGAGGATTTTGGGGGTCCTGGGGAGGATTTGGGTCTCCTGGGAAAGATTTTGGAGGTCCTAATTAGGATTTTGGGCTTCTAGGAAGCATTTTGGAGGAACTCAGGTAGGATTTGGGGATCCAGGGAAGGATTTTGGGGGTCCTGGGAAGGGTTTTGGGGGTCCTATTTAGGATTTGGGTCTGCTGGGAAGGATTTTGGGGGTCCTGGAGAGCTTTTAGGGTTCCTGGACGGGATTTTGGGGTCAGGGGGGTCCCGACAGCAGCACCCAAAGCTTTGTGCCCTGAAACCATGGCAGGGTCTGGGACTGCTGCCCTGAGCTCCCAGTTACCCCATCCCAGTTATACCAATCCATCCCAGTTACCCCATCCCAGTTATACCAATCCATCCCAGTTACCCCATCCCAGTTATACCAATCCATCCCAGTTACCCCATCCCAGTTACCCCATCCCAGTTATCCCATCCCAGTTACCCCATCCCAGTTATACCAATCCCAGTTACCCCATCCCAGTTACCCCATCCCAGTTACCCCATCCATCCCAGTTACCCCATCCCATCCCAGTTACCCCAATCCCAGTTACCCCCATCCCAGTTATCCCATGCCATCCCAGTTATCCCATCGCAGTTACCCCCATCCATCCCAGTTACCCCAATCCCAGTCACCCCATCCCATCCCATCCCAGTTATTCCATCCCCATTCCATCCCAGTTACCCCCATTCCATCCCAGTTATCCATATCCCAGTTACCCCAATCCCATCCCAGTTACTCCATCCCAGTTACCCCAATCCCATCCCAGTTACCCCAACCCAGTTTCCCCATCCCAGTTACCCCATCCATCCCAGTTACCCCATCCCAGTTACCCCATCCATCCCAGTTACCCCATCCCAGTCACCCCCATCCCATCCCAGTTACCCCAACCCAGTTTCCCCATCCCAGTTACCCCATCCATCCCAGTTACCCCATCCCAGTCACCCGAATCCCATCCCAGTCACCCCATTCCAGTTCCCCTATCCCAGTTACCCCCATTCCATCCCAGTCACCCCATTCCAGTTCCCACATCCCAGTTACCCCCATTCCATCCCAGTTACCACATCCCAGTTACCCCACCCCATCCCAGTTCCCCCATTCCATCCCAGTTACCCCCATCCCAACCCCATTACCCCTACCCCAGGTTAATCCCAGCCCCCTCCCACCCCCGTTACCCCATCCCGGTCCCATCCCGGGTCCCCCCCAACCTCACACCACCGACCCCACGCACCCCCCACGCCGCCATCGATCCTAATCCGGAAGTCCGGCCCACCCCCAGCCCCGTAGCCAATCAGAGCCCGGCTTTCGCCAGACTGACTACAGAAATAACCAATCTCCGCTTAGGACTGGAAAGAGGGACGTGCAGCCGAGCCAGTGGGAGTTCGCCCGATACCCCCTCAGTCCCCCGGGGGTTCCCTCACCTGTTTTTCCTGCCCGGTCTCCTCCGTGAAGGCGCCGGTACCGAGCGGGGCTGCCATGGCGGGGAGGGGGGGGCTCTGCGCTCCCTCCACTGCGTCCGGCCCCGCGCCCTGCTCCAAAATGGCCGCCACCGCCTCCACCGCCTCAGCTGCGTGACGGACAGCAGCTCTACCCAATGAGCGCAGAGAAGCGGCCGCAGTGACATCACACCTGACCAATCAGTGCGAGCGAAAGGCGGGGCACTGAGGGGAGGTGGCACCAACAGAAGGGCAGGACAACAGTGACTGGCATTAAACAGCGGCCAATGGAAAGCGAGAAACATCGAGTGGGCGGGAAAACAGGCGGGGCTTGCCCGGTAACGGACAGCCGCGGGTTCGAGACCGGGGCCGGGAGGGTGCGGGGACACCGCGGGGACACCTAAAAGCCCCAAAAGCGCCCCCGGAATGGAAAAGGGGCCTGGGGGAGGAGGGAGCTCACCCGCACCCATCAGCTGAGATCACCCGCAGCTCATGTCACCCGTGTCACCCTGGGGACATCCCGCCCCTCCCGGGCAATGCCAACGCCGCAGCTGCACCCACTGAAACACGGACACGGCCCGGGCTGCAGAGAAATAATTCAGTTTTAAGTGAACTACAGGAGAATCAAGTGGGGGAGGAAGGAAGGAAAGGGGTTGTGAACAAAAATAATCACAGTTTCACTTGGTTCTTCTTACTAGAAAGAGCAGCTGAGCCATGAGGGAACAGCCCGGGGGGGCTTTGGGTGCCCAACACCCCCAAACCATCCCAGGAGGGGGTGAGCTCCTCATGGGCACCCCAGAGCTGGAGCTGGATGTGGGAGAGGCACTCAGGAGTCCCGTCTGTGCCAGGGTTTGGCTTCTTGGAGCAGCTCCTGGGGCACCCCAAACTCTGCCACCCCCAGTTCTGCCATCCCAAACTCTGCCACCCCAAACTCTGCACTGGCCTCAGAAGGAAATGCCCAAGGAGCGAAGAGCTGCTGCCACCTCTCCCTGGAGGCACCACGGGGCTCTGGTGGTGGTGCTGGTGGTGGGTTCTCACCTCCCAACCCTACCTGGGAAGGGGAAAAACAAAAATCCCCTGGTCCCTCCCCAGGCTGAGCCCACCCAGTGCCCCAGGAGCTCCAGGTCCCCATGGGGAGAGGGGTCCAATTGATGGGAGCCATCAAGGGTCTCCTCCACACCATGTGAGGACTTATTGAAGGCCACCAGCACGGTCCAGATCATCTCTGTGGCCATGCCTTTGGCACCTTCCAGGTCCAGGTCCCTCTGGGGAGACCCCAGGGTGGGACCCCAGGTGGGACCTCAGGATGGGACCCATCAAGGGTCTCCCCTACCCCATGTGAGGAGGAGTTTAGGACTTCTTGAAGGCCACCAGCATGGCCCAGATCATCTCTGTGGCCCTGCCTTTGGCACCTTCCAGGTCCAAGTCCTTCTGGGGAGAGAGGTCCCCCTGATAGGACCCCATGTAGGGTGTGGAGTCCCCTTGATGGGACCCATCAAGGGTCTCTCCCACACCATGTAAGAAGTGTTTAGGACTTCTTGAAGGCCACCAGCATGGCCCAGATCATCTCTGTGGCCCTGCCTTTGGCACCTCCCAGTTCCAGGTCCCTCTGGGGAGACCCCAGGGTGGAACCCCATGATGGGACCCACCAAGGAGAGCTTTTAGGACTTATTGAAGGCCACCAGCACAGCCCAGATCATCTCTGTGGCCCTGCCTTTGTCACCTTCCAGGTCCAAGTCCTTCTGGGGAGAGGGGTCCCCCTGATAGGACCCCATGTAGGGTGTGGAGTCCCCTTGATGGGACCCATCAAGGATCTCCCCCATCCCACGTGAGGAGTGTTTAGGACTTCTTGAAGGCCACCAGCATGGCCCAGATCATCTCTGTGCCTTTGCCCTTAGCACCTTCCAAGTCCAGGTTCTTCTGGGGAGACCCCAGGGTGGAACCCCATGATGGGACCCACCAAGGAGAGCTTTTAGGACTTATTGAAGGCCGCCAGCACGGCCCAGATCATCTCCATGCCCTTGCCCTTGGCAGCCTCCACCTCAGGGTCCATATCCAGCAGGTCCTTGGTCCTGTTCATGGCCACGTCGTACTTGTCGTCGGCCAGGCTGGCGAAAACGTTCTCCAGCACGTCCGAGGCGTGGGCCAGCACCAGCAGGGCCAGGGTCCTGCGCTCCATGCGCTGGGGCTCGTTGACCCAACGCTCCAGGACGCTCTCCTGGAGCCTCTTGAGCAGGCGCTGCTTCTCGGAGGCGTTGCACACGGGGTGCGTGGTCATGTCGAAGAGGAGGAAGTTCTGCTTCTCCGTGGTCAGGATGCCCTTCTCCACCAGGGCCTTGGCCAGGCGCTCGCGCACGTTGCGCAGCTGGTACTGCAGCTTGAAGGGGTTCCAGGTCTCTCCTGAGGGACAGCAGGCTCTGGTCAAGGTTTGTTTGCCAATCCCAACGTCCTTCCACCCTTCCATGATGGCCTGCATGGACGCTGGGCGCTGAGGTCCAAGACTTCCACCAAGCTCCCAACCCAGAAAATCCTTCTCTGGCCCCACGTTCAACCTTCTCCTGCTCTCCCCATCCCCATGGACCTTCAGGGATCTCCAGGGATCCACAGCCAGGTCAGGGAGGCTCTGCTCAAGCTTTGTTTTCCAATCCTAATGTCCTTCCACCCTTCCATGATGTCCTGCATGGACACCAGGCTCTGCCACAGGAGCTCTGAGGTCCAAGATTTCCACCAAGCTCCCAACCCAGAAAATCCTTCTCTGCCCCCACATTCAACCTTCTCCTGCTCTTCCCATCTCCATGGACCTTCAGGGATCTCCAGGATCCAGAGAAAAGCCAGGGAGGCTCTGGTCAAGCTTTGCTTCCCAATCCCAACGTCCTTCCACCCTTCCATGATGTCCTGCATGGACACCAGGCTCTGATCCCTTGGTGGAACTCAGATCTTCCTGGTAAAGCTCCCAGTGGAGTTTTGAGGAGAAATCCCAGGGCAAATCCCATCCCTTTCCAAAGCCTCTTCCACCCATGGGTCACCCCAGGCTTGGTGAGGCCTCAGCAGGAACTGAAGGAGAACGAGGTCCAAGATTTCCCAGAACACCCAGAAAATCCTTCTCTGCCCCCATATTCAACCTTCTCCTGCTCTCCCCATCTCCATGGACCTCCAGGGATCCACAGCCAGGCCAGGGAGGCTCTGGTCAAGCTTTTCTTCCCAATCCCAACGTCCTTTCACCCTTCCATGATGTCCTGCATGGAGACCAGGCTCTGCCATAGGAGCTCTGAGGTCCAGGATTTCCACCGAGCTCTCAATAAAAGGACATCCAGAAAATTTTACTCTGCCCCCACATTCAACCTTCTCCTGCTCTTCCCATCTCCATGGACCTTCAGGGATCTCCACGGATCCAGAGCCAGGTCAGGGAGGCTCTGGTCAAGGTTTATTTCCCAATCCCAACGTCCTTCCACCCTTCCATGATGTCCTGCATGGACACCTGGCTCTGATCCCTTGGTGGAACTCAGACCCTCCTGGTAAAGCTCCCAGGGGAGCTTGAGGAGAAATCCCAGGAGAAATCCCAGGAGATCCCAGGGCAAATCCCTTCCCAAAGCCTCCTCCACCCATGGGTCACCCCAGGCTTGGTGAGGCCTCAGCATTTGGATCCCCCAAAATGCTTCCCAGGAGACCAAAATCCCATTAAGGATCTGGAAATCCTTCTCAGGAGACCCAAATCTTATCTGAGATCCTCCAAAATCCTTCCCAGGAGATCCAAATCCCACCTGGGACACCCCAGAATCCTCCAGTAGAACCTTCAAATTCTACCTGGACATCTAAATATCCCCCAGGGTGATCTGGGAAGGGAAATCAGGGAATCATGGACAGGCCTGGAGAGGGGTTTTGGAGGGATTTGAGGGTCCAGGGCAGTTTTGGGGTTCTCTAATCATCAGATCCTGGAGCTCTGGATGCAGAGGGTGACCCTGGCTGGATTTTGGTGGCTTTGGCTGGGTCTCAGGGATGTTTGGACAGCCCTGGAGAGGAGTTTTAGAGAGGGGTTTTGGAGATATTTGAGAGTCCAGGGTGGTTTTGGGGTTCTCCTCTCTTTTCGGGGTTCCCTCAGCACCAGATCCTGGAGCTCTGCATGCAGAGGGTGATGCTGGACCTGGGATCCTGGATGGATTTTGGTAGCTTTGGCTGGGTCTGAAGGACATTTGGACAGCCCTGGAGAGGGGTTTTGGATGAGTTTGAGAATCCAGGCTGGTTTTGGGGTTCCCTCAGCACCAGATCCCAGAGTTCTGGATGCAGAGGGTGATCCTGGATGGATTTTGGTGGCTTTGGCTGGGTGCAGCTCTGGATACAGAGCGTGACCCGGGATGGATTTTGGTGGCTCTCAGGGATGTCTGGACAGCCCTGGAGAGGGGTTTTGGATGAGTTCGAGAATCCAGGCTGGTTTTGAGGTTCCCTTACTACCAGATCCTGGAGCTCTGGATGCAGAGGGTGATCCTGGATGGATTTTGGAGGCTTTGGTTGGGTCTGGGTCCTGCAGCTCTGGATACAGAGTGTGACCCTGGATGGATTTTGGTGGCTTTGGTTGGGTCTGGGTCCTGCAGCTCTGGATACAGAGTGTGACCCTGGATGGATTTTGGTGGCTTGGGCTGGGTCCTGGAGCTCTGGATGCAGAGAGGGATGCAGAGGGTGACCCTGGATGGATTTTGGAGGCTTTGGTTGGGTCTGGGTCCTGCAGCTCTGGATACAGAGTGTGACCCTGGATGGATTTTGGTGGCTCTCAGGGATGTTTGGAGAGCCCTGGAGGGAGCTGGGATGGTGGAATCTCCACCTGGCCCTACCAGTGAGCAGCTCTATCCAGGTCTGCACCGTCTCTGCTGTCTCTGTGGCCTTGATGTGCCTGAGGGTCTCATCCAGCAGCACATCCCCAGTGGGAGCATCCGACTTCAGCAGCACCTGGGAGGAGCAATATCATAGAATATCAACAAATTGTAAATTGGTGTCATTATTACAAAATATTACATTATTATAATTATATATTAATATAATATTATATATTATATATTATAGTATAATAGTTTATTAATAATATTATATAATATATTATTATATAATATATGATAATATAATAGTCTATTAATATTATACTATTGCAATAATATATTATATATAAAAAGAAAATATATAATATATATTATATACACATTAATATATTATATATAATATTAAACATAATATATTATAATTATTATTATATATTATTATACATAATAATTAAAATATGCATTATATATTTATATAATATATATTATATTTAGATATTATATATATTAGTATATAATATATTATTATATAATAGTCTATTAATATTATACTATTGTAATAATATATATATTATATAATATATAATATAATATAATATATATTATATTATATATTATATATTAGATATAATAGATAAAATAATTAATATGTATATTATTATATATAATTAAAATCGATAATATATTAATATAACATAATATATTATATTAATATACTATATATTAATATATATAAGACAATATATATAATTATTATATAATATATATTATATATTATTACTATATAATATATAATAATATAATAGTCTATAAATATTATACTACTGTAATTTTATATAATTATTATATGGTATTGTGGCTATAATTAATATAATATTCTATGAATAATACAGACTATTATAATATTGTAATTTTGCATCATTATTACAGAATAACATAATAATATTACATAATATGGATATTATTTACTTTATTCTATTATCCACTAATTTTAATTTATTATTTATTTATTATTTATTTTTAAATTTTTTTAATTTTTATTTCATTATTTTTCCATTTTCACAAGAGACCGAACACGTTTTCCACACCCCCCAGGCAGGCTGGGCTGGGCACACCCCCAGCCCTTGCCAGGGCTCCCACAGCAGCCTGACCTTCTGCTGGGGAGGATGGAACAGGAAAGCCTTATCAATATGATTGCCTGGCAAAAGATTTTGAGAACATGGAAACTATAAGTGAGTTTGAAAGGAAAGAAAGCTTTGAGATCCCTCAGTTACTGAACACCGGGAAAACAATGGTGTGGTCACTGAAGGTGATCCCCTTTTGATGGAACAACACCCTCTGCTTGCAGACAGATCCAAGGATCAGAGCAGACCCCACAGGGAGAAGAGGCCCAAAAAATAAGAGGCAGAAGAGGCCCAAAAAATAAGATTTAGGGTTTAAAATGTAACACAGTATGGTAATGTAATGATTCCTATAGGCTGTATGGAAATGTTATAGGATATGCACGCTGTGGTAGATTGGTTGATGAAAATGAGATTGAAATGAAAGCAAGCTTTGAGATGCCTCAGTTACTGAACACCTGGAAAACAATGGTGTGGCCACTGAAGGTGATCCCCTTGTGATGGAACAACACCCTCTGCTTGCAGACAGCTCCAAGGGTCAGAGCAGACCCTACAGCTTGGCAGAAGGGGCCCAAAGAATAAGATTTAGGGTTTAAAATGTAACACAGTGTGGTAATGTAGTGATTCTTATAGGTTCTATGGAAATGTTATAGGATATGCATGCTGTAGTAGATTGGTTGATGAAAATGAGAAAATAAGAATAAGATTTAGGGTTTAAAATGTAACACAGTATGGTAATGTAGTGATTCTTATAGGTTCTATGGAAATGTTATAGGATATAGGAGGAAATGTTATAGGATATATATAGGAAATGTTATAGGATATATAGGAGCTGTAGTAGATTGGTTGATGAGAATCTGAATATTCAACACTGAAGATGATTTATTGTGTTGTAACGGGAACTTCGCTCTCTTCCCTTTTCGTGCTCACTTCTTCGTCTCCTCTGCACTTCTTCACCCCCTCCTTTCTACAAGCTCTCCGCTCTTAAACCTTTGTCTTTAACTCTCTTTAAGCTGTAGGAGAGTTACACCTTTGTCTTAAACCTTTGTCTTTAACTCTCTTTAAGCTGTAGGAGAGTTACACCTTTGTCTTAAACCTTTGTCTTTAACTCTCTTTAAGCTGTAGGAGAGTTACACCTTTGTCTTAAACCTTTGTCTTTAACTCCCTTACACTTTAAGCTGTAAGAGTTACACCTTTGTCTTAAACCTTTAACTCTCTTACACTTTAGGCTGTAAGAGTTACACCTTTGTCTTAAACCTTTGTCTTTAACTCTCTTACACTTCAGGCCTCTCTTCTCTCGGGCCTGCTCCGAGCTGCGGCTGGCAGCTCCCAGCAAGGCCCTGCACCCACGCCCTTGGCAATAAACTGCAAGTTCTACGACTTGGCTTCAAAGAGATCTCATCTCCATCCATCCCGACCATGTGTGACCCCCATCGCTCCCCCAGACACCCTTACAACCTTCCTCTCCAGCAGCCTCTTCTTCCTCAGGGCCAGCGGCTCCAGGCGGATGCGGCCGCGCAGCGCCAGCTCGATCAGGATCCCGCCGCGCAGCCCCGAGGAGATGCAGTCGTTCCAGAACGAGGTGTAGCCCTGGGGAGAACACGGCAGGGAATTTTGAATTGTCCTCTCTGTGCTGCTCGTGCCTCCTGGACTGCTGGGATCCTGCCCAGGAGTCTCCCCAAAGCTTCCAGATTTCCAAATTTCCCTGCTCCTTTCTCTAAACCTTCCCAGATTTCCAGATTTCCCTGCTCCTCTCTCCAAACCTTTCCACATTTCCCTGCTCCTTTCTCTAAACCTTCCCAGATTTCCACATTTCCCTGCTCCTTTCTCTAAACCTTCCCAGATTTCCAGATTTCCCTGCTCCTCTCCCCAAAGCTCCCCACATTTCCACACTTTCCTGCTCCTGTCTCTGCTCTTGTCTCTCTAAACCTTCCCACATTTCCACATTTCCCTGTTCCTGTCTCCAAACCTTTCCACATTTCCCTGTTCCTGTCTCCAAACCTGCTGCTTTCTTTCCTCCTTTTCTGCTCCTTCTTTCCTCCCTTTCTGCTCTTTTTTCCCTTCCCTTTCTGCTCCTCCTTTCCTCCCTTTCTGCCTTTTTTTTTCCCTCCTTTCCTGCTCCTTCTTTCCTCCCTTCCTGCTGCTCTTTCTCTGCATGGAAAACAAGGATGGAAGGACCTAAAATCCACCAGGAGCCTGCAGAAAAAGTGAAAAAACCTCCCCAAAGCAAACAGGCTGGGCACCCCCAGCCCTCCCCAGGGAAGATTTTCCCTCCCCAGGGCTGAATTCCCATCCCCTGTGGCTCTGTTTGAGCAGAGCATGTGGACTCTGGGCTTGCCCAGCACAGAGAACCATCAAATAAATGAAGATTTTTATTTGCTTTCTCCACTTCCTTGTGCAGGAACACAAAGCAGCCTTTCATCCCTGCCCTCCTGGTTTCCTTGCCTGGATTTTGCTCCTGGCTTTTACAAACAAAGTTCTCCAGGAAAGGGTGTGAAGATGGGCAAAGGTTTCAATTTCCTGGCCTCAAGGGCGCGTTAACCCCCTAGGAAATTTGAAGTTCCAAAGCTCCTGGGTTATTTTTCCAGCTTGGAAAATAAAAGCCAGCCTGGTTTGCAGCCAGGTCCTCCTACATGGACAGACTGGTACTTTAAATAATGAAATCACAACGTGAGCTGATTGAATTTGGCAAAAATCATCTTGTTTTTCCCCAGCCATCAAAGCATGAGTGAACACCTGAGCTGTGAAAACAGAGCCCAGCTCAGGGCCAGGCTGCTGCTGCCTCTGCTTGTGAGCTCCAGGAATGCGGAAGGACAGGATGGAATAATAATAAATAAAAAAAAAAAAAAAAAAGCAAAGTGTGACAAGGTTTTTTCCCCTATTTGTTGTGCTCTGCCAGGTTCCTGGTGGCTCAGGGGCTGTTCCCAGGATACATTAACCAAGAACACCAACCACAGCCCAGGAGAACAGCAGCCCACGGCACCCCACTCCCAGGCTGCTGTCAAATATTTGCTCCAGGATTATTTGCATTGTGTTCCCTGAGCTGCTGCCACTTCCCAGTTGGCTCCCACATCTGATCTGGGGCTCTGGGACAGGACAGCCCCAGCCCTTGTCACTGTCACAGCCTGGCCTGGATCCCTGGGACAGCTCAGCACCAGCTGGGGCCGGCCCACAACTGCACAGCCCTGCTGGGAAGAAGGTTCTGGAACCTCACAAAGGTTTAACTCCACCCCTGAGGGAGGAAGAGGATGAAGAGGAGGAGGAAATCCACAAATCCACCTCAGCTCCTCAGGGTGGGAGACGCAGGAATCGTGGAATGGTTACAGATGGAAAAGATCTCCACTTGACCAAAGTGGGTTCCTGGAGCTGGAAAGCCTCTCCAGAAGTTTCTGCTCTGCCACGGCCACCCCAAAAAGCACCTTGGGCACCTGGTGGGCTTCCCCTGGTCTGCAATTCCCCATCCACTCACCAGGAACAGCAGAGTTTAGAATTGTGGGATGGTTTGGGTTGGAAGGGACCTTAAAGATCAGCTGATCCCATTCCATGGCAGGGCCAGGTTCCACCACAGCAGGCTGCTCACCCAACCTGGCCTGGGCCACTCCCAGGGACGGGGCAGCCATGGGACAACCTGTGCCAGGGCCTCACCACCCTCCCAGGCAAAGATTTCCCCAGGCTGATGCAGGAGATGGATGCAGGGGTGAAATCAAGGCACAGGGACAGCTCAGAGAACCCCACAGCAGGCAGAGCTGATAAACCAGCTCCTAGCAGCTGATAAGCACAAACCAACTCTGTTTGACCAGGATCCCCTGACCCCAGGGTGACAGGCACACAGGAGGAGCTCCCACAGTGACATCCCCACCCAGAGCTGCCCATCCCCACCCCTGCCTGGCCCAGCAAGGCAGCAGAGCTGCAGCTCCTGCTCCCTGTCCATTTTGGCTGCACACTCAGCCCAGCTGGCTCTGCTGCCCTCTGCCTTTTCCCCCATTGTTAAGGGTGTCCCTGCGTGCCAGCTGCTGCTTTGGGGCTGCAGAGGAGGATGAAAGGACGTTCACCCTTTGATAAAGCAGCTGAGCCTCCTTCTACCCATGGCTTCAGCCCTGGAAAAAACACCACCAACTTTGCTCTGCCCCTGTCCCCAAGGCAGAGCTGCTGGGACAGCACTGTCAGCCACGTGCACAGCTCAGCTTGCCATCTCCTGGCACAGGGAGCCCAGAGCAGCTGGACCAGCCCTGCAAGTGTCCAAGGCCAGGCTGGACAGGGCTTGGAGCAGCCTGGGATGGTGGAAGGTGTCCCTGTCCATGGTGAGGGCTTGGAACTGGATGAGCTCCACAGTCCCAACGCTCAATGCCATGGCTCAGTTGAGGTGTTGGGGTTGGACTCCATGATCTTTGAGATCTCTTCCAACCCAGTGATTCTGTGAATTCCATCCTACAATTCTGTGATCCCAAGCAGGTTCTGAGGGACAGCACTGAGAAAGAACCCATCCCATGTGCTGCAACCCACCCCATTTCTGCTGCTCCCTGAGTGCCTGGAGCCCAGCTTGACCACAGCACTGCCCACCAGGCTCACCTCCTTGTCCTTCAGCCCCAGGAGCAGCACCTCCTCCATGAGGGTCAGGCGGATGTCCTTGGAGTCGTCGGGCTCGTCCTCGTTCAGCTCCCTGTCCGCAGCCTCCTCCTCAGCCTCCCCCTTCCTCTCGGAGCCCCGGCCCTCGGCCCGCCGGCCCCGGTGCGTCAGCGTCGTCATCTCCGGCTGCGCGGGGGGCACGGGGGGGCTGAGACCCCAGAGCCAAAACTCCAGAGCCAAACCCCTCCCCAGAGCCAAACCCACCCCCCAAACCCCTCTCCCCCATTCCCAGTCCCAAACACAAACCCATTTCCCCTGACCCAAACCCCTTCCCCAGAGACAAACCCCTCCCACAGACCCAAACCCCCAGAGCCAAATCCCCTCTCCAGACCAAGAGGCGCTCGTCCCTTCTGCCCCAGGATTTCCAGCTCCCCCAGACCCAAATCCTCTCCCCCAAACCCCCTTCCCCAGAGCCAAACCCCTCCCCCAGACCCAAATCCTCTCCCCCAAACCCCCTTCCCCAGAGCCAAAGACCCACCTCCAAACCCCCACCCCCAGATGCAAAGCCCCATTCCCAGAGCCCCAGACCCAGACACAAACCCACTCCCCCAGACCCAAACCCCATCCCCCAAAGCCAAACCCCCAGAGCCAAACCCCTCCCCAGACCCCCATTCCCAGACCAAGAGGCGCTTGTCCCTTCTACCCCAGGATTTCCAGCTCCCCCAGACCCAAATCCCCTCCCACAGACCCAAACCCAAACCCACTTCCCCAGACCCCCTCACCCAGATCAAGGGATGCTCCTACCCCAGGATTTCCAGCTCCCCCAGACCCCAATCCTCATTCCCACACCCAAACTCAAACCCCCATTCCCAGACCAAGGGATGCTCCTACGCCAGGATTTTCAGCTCCCCCAGACCCAAATCCCCTACTTCAGACCCAAACCCCCATTCCCAGACCAAGGGGAGCTCGTCCCTTCTACCCCAGGATTTCCAGTTCCCCCAGACCCAAACCCCCATTCCCGGACCCCAGACCCAAACCCCCTCACCCAGACCAAGGGGCACTCGCTGCTCCCACCCCAGGATTTTCAGCTCCCACCCCAGGATTTTCAGCTCCCACCCCAGGATTTTCCGCTTCCCCAGACCCAAACCCCTCCCTCAGAGCCAAACCCCCAGACCCAAACCCCCATTCCCAGACCAAGAGGCGCTCGTCCTTCTACCCCAGGATCGATTTCCAGTTCCTCTAGACCCAAATCCCCTCCCTTAGACCCAAACACCCTTCCCAGACCCCAGACCCAAACCCCCTCACCCAGACCAAGGGACGCTCCTACCTAAAGATTTCCAGTTCCCCCAGACCCAAACCCAGACCCTCTCCCCAGCCCAAGGGTTCCCACTCCCCATTCCCGGGGCTGTCGGGGATCCCCGTCCCCTCCATCGCTGGGCCGGTCCCAGCCCAGGTTCCGAGGGGAGGAGCAGCGGAGCCCCCGAGCCCCTGAGGCCGCAGGGCGGGTCCCGCACCCCCGGCAGCGTCCGGGGACGGCTCCATCCCACCGCCCCTGACCCACCGGGCTCCAACCCCGGCCCGGTTCCGCCTCATCCCCCCGGGCTCCGTCCCACCCCTCACGGCCCTGGCCCGGCTCCATCCCACCGCCCCTGTCCCACCCCTCACGGCCCCGATCCGGTTCTGCCTCACTCCCCGGGTTCCGTCCCACCCCTCACGGCCCCGGCCCGGCTCCATCCCAACCCCGGGCCCAGCCCCGCTCTATCCCCCCCGCGGGTGAAGATCCGCCTCCCCATGAGGGTTGGGGGCTGCTAAAGCCCCCCGCCCGCTGCTCCCCGCCCGGCCTCACCGCTGCTCGGCGGGTCCGCCCGCCCCGTTCCGCTCCGTTCCGGGGCCGCGGGCAGGAAAAGACTCGCCGGGGCCGCCGCCGCTTCCTGGCCTCCGCTGGTCCCGCCCACGCCGCGGCTCTGACCAATGGGAGCCCGCGCGGGTCGGAGCAGCCAATGAGCGCGGCTCGGGTGGGTCAAGGGGCGGGACTTCCTACTGTCAGTCAGGGGTGGCTCCGCCCCCGCCCGCGTGTCGTGTCCGAGTCCCGTTCCTGTTCTTGTCCTGTCCCGTGTCCCCTCCTGGGTCCCATTCCGTGTCCCGTCCCGTGTCCCTTCCTGGGTCCCATTCCCTGTCCTGTCCCGTGTCCCCTCCTGGGTCCCATTCCGTGTCCTGTCCCGTGTCCCCTCCTGGGTCCCATTCCGTGTCACATCCCAATCCCGTCCCCGCTCCAGTCTCGTCCTGTCCCGTGTCCCATCCCAATCCCGTTCCCGTTCCTGCTTATCCCGTCCCGTGTCCCATTCCGTGTCAAATCCCGTTCCCGTCCCTATTTGTACCGTCCTGTCCCGTGTCCCGTCCCGTGTCCCGTTCCCGTCCCGTGTCCCGTTCCCGCTCCAGTCCTGCCTCCTCTCCCATCCCATTCCCGTTCCGTGTCCCGTTCCCGTTTCCCTCTCCCATCCCATTCCCGTCCTGTCCCGTGTCCCATTCCCACTCCAGTCCTGTCTCTCTCTCCCATCCCGTTCTCGTTCCGTTTCCCGTTCCCGTCTCCCTCTCCCATCCCATTCCTGTTCCCGTGCCCTCCCCGTGCCGCCGGTAAGGGACCACGCCGCTCCAAGCTGAACGCCGTTTAATGACGAGCGCACATTGTTCATTCAACAGCCAAACCCGCCAGGGACGTTCCGCTGTCCCCGCCCTCCGCTCTCGTTCCCCGACACCGAACGAACGGTTCGGGCTGCAGGAGCGCTCGGTACCGGGTCCCACCCTGCCTCAAACCGTTCTGAGCTCAACCGGGATCTCCCGGTGCTCCTTGGAACCGAGCGGAGGAGCCATGGAGACCGAAATTCCTGCGTTCTGGCAGCGAGCCTGGAATTTAAAGCACGAAGAGAGCTTGTTCTTCACCTGAGCATGGCGATTCTGCTCTGGGAGAAATGCAGAGCGTCCAACTCCTCCAATTGTCCCGGTGGGAAAGGCAAAAACTGTAACTGCAAAAACTGTAACAGCCTCTAACTGACAGCCCAGCCCTGTGGAAAATTCCAGAAATCACCCCAAAACTGGAGAGGTGCTGGGGCAGGCTCAGAACCAGAGCCCACTGCTGAAACCTTGTGCTGGGGATGAGTTTCCTCCGTCACCATCAGGACCTGGAGCCAACCCACAAAGCCCCAAAAATCCAAGGATTTCTGTGCAAAATGAGTCTGGAATTCCTCAGCTGGGCTTGCTGACATTTTCCTTCCTTAAGAAACATCCTCATGGCACTGCTGATGGAGCAGAACAGATCCTTCAAACCAACAGTGAACACGCAACAGGAGTGGAGAACTTGGGCTACAAAAACTGCTCCTTGGAATTGCTGAATTTCCTCCTTTGGGTAACTTAAACTTCTCCTTGGAGTTGCTGAGCTTCCTTCTTTTGGGCAACTAAAACTGATCCTTGGGCTTCTTCTTTTGGGAACTAAAACTGCTCCTTGGAATTGCTGAGCTTCATCCTTTGGGCAACTAAAAGTGCTTTGGGCTTCTTTTGGGCAACAAAAACTGCTCCTTGGAATTGCTGAGCTCCTTGGAATTACTACAACTAGAACTGCTCCTTGGAATTGCTGAGCTTCCTCCTTTTGGGCAACTAAAACTGCTCCTTGGAATTGCTGAATTTCCTCCTTTTGGGCAACTAAAACTGCTCCCTTGGGCTTCTTCTTTTGGGCAACTAAAACTGCTCCTTGGAATTGCTGAATTTCCTCCTCTTGGGAATTAAAACTGCTCCTTGGAATTGCTGAATTTCCTCCTTTTGGCAACTAAAACTGCTCCTTGGGTTTCATCCTTTGGGCAACTAAAACTGCTCCTTGGAATTGCTGAATTTCCTCCTTTTGGGAAACTAAAATTACTCCTTGGGCTTCTTCCTTTGGGCAACTAAAACTGTTCCTTGGAATTGCTGAATTTCCTCCTTTTGGCAACTAAAACTGCTCCTTGGGTTTCATCCTTTGGGCAACTAAAACTGCTCCTTGGAATTGCTGAATTTCTCCTTTTGGGCAACTAAATCTGTTCGTTGGGTTTGCTGAGCTTCATCCTTTGGGCAACTAAAACTGCTCCTTGGAATTGCTGAATTTCCTCCTTTTGGGCACTGAAACTGCTCCTTGGAATTGCTGAATTTCCTCCTTTTGGGCACTGAAACTGCTCCTTGGAATTGCTGAATTTCCTCCTTTTGGGCACTAAAACGGCTCCTTGGAATTGCTGAATTTCCTCCTTTTGGGCACTAAAACCGCTCCCTGGGCTCGCTGAGCTTCCTCCTCTTGGGCAGCACCTCCTGGCTGGAGGAGGGCTCAGCCGGGTGCAGCTGCCAAGGAAAACCAACAATGGAATTACAGGAGCTCTGTGGGGGCAGGACAGGGCACAGCCACCCCCAGAGCTGTGACACAGCCTGAGCCCCACCCCAGGGCCTGCCCAGATGTGCTGGGCCTGCAGGAACATCTGGGTGCTGTTTCCTGGCAGCACTGACCCACTGAGGAAGGCTGGGATGTTTTCCTGTTGGGACGTTTTCCTGCTGCAGCTGTGGCAGCAGGAAATGCAGCACAGGACAAGGAGTGGGCTGAAAGAGGGGAAATTGAGGTTGGAAAAAAGGGAGAAATCCTTCCCTGTGGCGTGGGGAGGTTCAGATTGAAACAGGGGAAATTGAGGTTGGAGATAAGGGGGAAACCCTTCCCTGTGGGGTGGGGAGGTGTAGATGGAAAGAGGGAAAATTGAGGTTGGAAACATGGGGGAAATCCTTCCCTGTGGGGTGGGAAGATTTAGGTTGAAAGAGGGAAAATTGAGGTTGGAGATATGGGGGAAACCCTTCCCTGTGGAGTGGGGAGGTTCAGATTGAAACAGGGGGAAATTGAGGTTGGAAACATGGGAGAAATCCTTCTGTGGGGTGGGGAGGTGTAGATGGAAAGAGGGGAAATTGAGGTTGGGGATATGGGAGAAATCCTTCCCTGTGGGGTGGGAAGATTTAGGCTGAAAGAGGGAAAATTTAGGCTGGAAACATGGGAGAAATCCTTCCCTGTGGGTCGGGGAGGATCAGATTGAAAGAGGTGAAATTGAGGTTGGAAACATGGGAGAAATCCTTCCCTGTGGGGTGGGGAGGTGTAGATTGAAACAGGGGGAAATTGAGGTTGGAAACATGGGGGAAATCCTTCTGTGGGGTGGGAAAATTTAGGCTGAAAGAGGGGAAACTGAGGTTGGAGATAAGGGGGAAATCCTTCCCTGTGTGGTGGGAAGATTTAGGCTGAAAGAGGTGAAATTGAGGTTGGAAACATGAGAGAAATCCTTCTGTGGGGTGGGGAGGTGTAGATGGAAAGAGGGAAAATTGAGGTTGGGGATATGGGAGAAACCCTTCCCTGTGGAGTGGGGAGGTTCAGATTGAAACAGGGGGAAATTGAGGTTGGAAACATGGGACAAATCCATCCCTGTGGGGTGGGGAGGTGTAGATTGAAACAGGGGGAAATTTAGGCTGGAAACATGGGAGAAATCCTTCTGTGGGGAGGTGTAGATGGAAAGAGGGGAAATTGAGGTTGGGGATATGGGAGAAATCCTTCCCTGTGAGGTGGGAAAGTTCAGATTGAAACAGAGGGAAATTGAGGTTGGAAACATGGGAGAGATCCTTCTGTGGGGTGGGAAGATTTAGACTGAAAGAGGGGAAACTGAGGTTGGAGATATGGGGGAAACCCTTCCCTGTGGGGTGGGGAGGTGTAGATTGAAAGAGGGGAAATTGAGTTTGAAGATAAGGGAGAAATCCTTCCCTATGGGATGGGAAGATTTAGACTGAAACAGGGGGAAATTGAGGTTGGAAACATGGGAGAGATCCTTCTGTGGGGTGGGAAGATTTAGGCTGAAAGAGGGAAAATTGAGGTTGGGGATATGGGGGAAATCCTTCCCTGTGGGGAGGGGAAGCCCTGGCACAGATGATTCCATGGATTCCCCATGCCTGGAAATGTCCAAGGCCAGGCTGGGAGCACCCTGGGATGGTGGAAGGTGACCCTGGGATGGTGGAAGGTGACCCTGCCCAGGCTTTGAGGTCCCTTCATCCAAACCATTCCATGATTTCCAGATTCCAGCTCTGCAGAGGCTGCTCAGCACCCAAAAACCCCCTGAGAGCTCAGTCCTGCTGCTCCTGCCTGTGCCATGAAAAAATAACAATGAACCTTTAAATTCCATTCAAAGGTGACAATGAACCTTTAAATTTCATTCAAAGGTGACAATGAACCTTTAAATTCCATTCAAAAGTGACAATGAACCTTTAAATTCCATTCAAAAGTGACAATGAACCTTTAAATTCCATTCAAAGGTGACAATGAACCTTTAAATTCCATTCAAAGGTGACAATGAACCTTTAAATTTCATTCAAAGATGACAATGAACCTTTAGCTCCACTGTCCTTTTGGTTATTTAAATCAATTGTGATTTGTTTAATAAATTTATTACTAAGTTCAGTAAAATCTCTTGGAAAAATACCCAGGGATGGTGAGCAAACAGAACAACCTTACCTTATTTTCTGTCACATTAATAATTAGGAAAAAGCTCTGAATTTTATTGGTTGGAAACAGGGAGGGACTTCAGAGCTCATCCAGTGCCACCCCTGCCATGGCAGGGACACTTTTCAATGTCCCAGGGTGCCAGGGACAGATTTTCTGGGAATTCCATCCCAACCCTCACAGGGAAACAGTTTCTTGTGTAAAACAAAAGAGAAAAATTCACCCCAAAGGTTTTGGAGAAGGATTTGCCCCTCTCTTGGCATTGCCAGAATTCCAAATGCGTGGTGAGAGCTCAGTCAGTGAAGGAGCAGCACAGACATGAGGCCCCAAAATCAAATTCCAGCCTGGACACAACATCTGCTCCAGCTGTGCCAGGTGGGAAGGATTTGGGTCCTCACAAGCAGCACTGCCTGCCAGACTTGATTTAAATAAAAAAAACCCGGATTTTTCTTGGAATGAAGGGTGAGGTTATAATTTTGGCCCAGTGTTTCCCAAGTGGAAGCACTGGGTGAGCTCTGCTGGCACAGATGGGTCAAACCTGCAGCGTTGGCAGATCCCAACCCTCACAGGGAAACAATTTTTTGTGTAAAACAAAAGAGAAAAATTCACCCCAAAGGTTTTGGAGAAGGATTTGCCCCTCTCTTGGCATTGCCAGAATTCCAAATGCGTGGTGAGAGCTCACTCAGTGCAGGAGCAGCACAGACATGAGGCCCCAAAATCAAATTCCAGCCTGGGCACAACATCTGCTCCAGCTGTGCCAGGTGGGAAGGATTTGAGTCCTCACAAGCAGCACTGCCTGCTAAATTTGATTTAAATAAAAAAAAAAAGAAAAGGATTTTTCTTGGAATGAAGGAGTCACAGGGGTGAGGTTACAATTTTGGCACAAGGAAGCACTGGGTGAGCTCTGCTGGCACAGCTGGGTCAAACCTGCAGGAAATTTTGGCTAAATATCAACTAAAATTTAAGAATTTTTCTCAACCTGTGTTACCTTGCATCAAATCAGCTTCCAGCTCCTTGAGAATTCTTTTTGGAATTGAATGGGAACTTAGGAAGTGATGAGAATTTCATTCTGCCAATAGCAAGTGCATTCAAGCTCTTGAGTTTTCTTCACTGTTTGCAAGAGAAATGATGAGAATTAAAGGAAAATTTGATACTAACAATGCAGCTTTGGAATATCTTTCCACTTCTTGTCCTGCTCTCTGACACAATCAGCTCAGATGTTTTGCGGGTCAAATGATCAACCTGGAAGCAGAAAATTAAAAAGAAAAAAGCTGTAACAAATTAATTAAAAAATTGCAACTAAAGCGACAACTAAAATTACTAAAATTACAACTAAAATTGTAATTAAAGAAGCTGTAACAAAGCAGATTTTGCAAAAATCCACCCTGGAGACACCCAGTGTGGGGAATTCACAGTGCCTGAGTTCAGACTGAATTTGGGGGGGGTTTAAATGGTAAAAACCCCTGGAAATCACAGCTGGGTGTGCTGGAGAGCCCTGGCAGAGAGAAGCATGTGCTGGTTTTGTTTTTTTCCAAACTTAAAAACTTGAATTTTGAAGTTTGAACCAAGTTTTAAACAAGCTTTGCTTTGTCACAATTACCAGTGGAATTCCCTGCTAATTATTTCCATTTCCATGGATTTCCATTATTAAAATGGAAATTAAATTCCCCATTTTCACTCAGAAACAGTCCCAGCACCTGTTTGTTTTGTATTTTTGTATTTCAGAGGAACAGCCCTTTGGCAGTGCTTTAGAATAGTTCTGGAAAACACCAGGAAGTGAAATGTAAAGAAAAATTCAAGTTGATTGAATTCAAGTTTGAATCAAGTTTTAAACAAGTTTTGCTTTGTCACAATTAGCAGTGGAATTCCCATGTAGGCAGTTTATTAGAATGGAAATTACAGAATTCAATAAACTTTAATTTTTAAGTTTGAACCAAGTTTTAAACAAGCTTTGCTTTGTCACAATTACCAGTGGAATTCCCTGCTAATTATTTCCATTTCCATGTTCTGGAAAACACCAGGAAGTGAAATGCAAAGGAATTCAATCAACTGGAATTTTTAAGTTTGGATCAAGTTTTAAACAAGCTTTGCGTTGTCAGAATTACCAGTGGAATTCCCATTTAGGCAGTTTATTAGAATGGAAATTAAATTTTCCATTTTCACCCAGAAACAGTCTCAGCACCTGTTTGTTTTGTATTTTTGTATTTCAGAGGAACAGCCCTTTGTCAGTGCTTTAGAATAGTTCTGGAAAACACCAGGAAGTGAAATGTAAAGGAATTCAATCAACTGGAATTTTTAAGTTTGGATCAAGTTCTAAACAAGCTTTGCTTTATCAGAATTACCAGTGGAATTCCCATTTAGGCAGTTTATTAGAATGGAAATTGCAGAATTCAATAAACTTTAATTTTTAAGTTTGAATCAAGTTTTAAACAAGCTTTGCTTTGTCACAATTACCAGTGGAATTCCCATTTAGGCAGTTTATTAAAATGGAAATTACATTTTCCATTTTCACTCAGAAACAGTCCCAGCACCTGTTTGTTTTGCATTTCAGAGGAACAGCCTTTTGTCAGTGCTTTAGAATAGTTCTGGAAAACACCAGGAACTGAAATGTAAAGGAATTCAATCAACTTTAATTTTGAAGTTTGAATCAAGTTCTAAACAAGCTTTGCTTTGTCACAAGTAGCAGTGGAATTCCCTGCTAATTATTTCCATTTCCATCTTCTGGAAAACACCAGGAAGTGAAATGCAAAGGAATTCAATCAACTTAAAAATTAAAGTTTGGATCAAATTTCAAACAACTTTGCTTTGTCACAATTACCAGTGGAATTCCCATTTAGGCAGTTTATTAAAATGGAAATTACATTTTCCATTTTCACTCAGAAACAGTCCCAGCACCTGTTTGTTTTGCATTTCAGCCTTTTGGCAGTGCTTCAGAATAGTTCTGGAAAACAGCAGGAAGTGAAATGTAAAGGAATTCAACCAACTTTAATTTTTAAGTTTGAACCAACTTTTAAACAAGCTTTGCTTTGTCACAATTACCAGTGGAATTGCCTGCTAATTATTTCCATTTCCATGTATTTCCATTATTAAAATGGAAAGTAAATTCCCCATTTTCACTCAGAAACAGTCCCAGCACCTGTTTGTTTTGTATTTCAGCCTTTTGTCAGTGCTTTAGAATAGTTCTGGAAAACACCAGGAAGTGAAATGTAAAGGAATTCAATCAACTTTAATTTTGAAGTTTGAACCAAGTTTTAAACAAGCTTTGCTTTGTCAGAAATACCAGTGGAATTCCCTGCTAATTATTTCCATTTCCATGTTCTGGAAAACAGCAGGAAGTGAAATGCAAAGGAATTCAATCAACTTTAATTTTAAAGTTTGGATCAAGTTTTAAACAAGCTTTGCTTTGTCACAATTAGAAGTGGAATTGCCTGCTAATTATTTCCATGGATTTCCATTATTAAAATGGAAATTAAATTCCCCTTTTTTCACTCAGAAACAGTCCCAGCACCTGTTTGTTTTGCATTTCAGAGGAACAGCCTTTTGTCAGTGCTTTAGAATAGTTCTGGAAAACACCAGGAAGTGAAATGTAGAGGAATTCAATCAACTTTAAGTTTGGATCAAGTTTTAAACAAGCTTTGCTTTGTCACAATTACCAGTGGAATTCCCTGCTAATTCTTTCCATTTCCATGGATTTCCATTATTAAAATGGAAATTAAATTCCCCTTTTTTCACTCAGAAACAGTCCCAGCACCTGTTTGTTTTGTATTTCAGAGGAACAGCCCTTTGGCAGTGCTTTAGAACAGTTCTGGAAAACACCAGGAAGTGAAATGTAAAGGAATTCAATCAACAGGAATTTTGAAGTTTGAACCAAGTTTTAAACAAGCTTTGCTTTGTCAGAAATACCAGTGGAATTCCCTGCTAATTATTTCCATTTCCATGTTCTGGAAAACAGCAGGAAGTGAAATGCAAAGGAATTCAATCAACTTTAATTTTAAAGTTTGGATCAAGCTTTGCTTTGTCACAATTAGCAGTGGAATTCTCTGCTAATTATTTCCATTTCCATGCATTTCCATTATTAAAATGGAAATTAAATTCCCCCTTTTCACTCAGAAACTTGGGTGACACTGGAAAACACCAGGAAGTGAAATGTAGAAGAATTCAATAAACCTGAATTTTGAAGTTTGAACCAAGTTTTAAACAAGCTTTGTCAGAATTAGCAGTGGAATTCCCTGCTAATTATTTCCATTTCCATGTTCTGGAAAACAGCAGGAAGTGAAATGTGAAGGAATTTTGTGGCTGGGAATTGTGACTGTGGGAAACGGGGATTCAGCAGATCAGCCATGAGTCAATCCAAGGAAGAAGGAGCTGCAGGAAAAGCTGAAGATGACAGAGCAGAGTTTTCCTACCTGAGGATTGGAAACATGGGCAGGAGTCTGGATCCCTCCAGCTTCACCTCCATGAGCTGAATTCTTTCCTGAAAGAAGAACTGGAGATTAAATAAAGGTTTAAAAAAATCAACAATCCAAAGCAAACAACACCAGCTCTGCCCCAAGAACATTACTAATTAAGGAAAAGCTCTGAATTATTAATTATTATCTAAAAATTATAATATAAAATATACAAATATTACCTGGAGCTTCTGAAATATTCACATGATTCTTATCTTCCACTTCATTATCCAAGGCAGGATCCTCCTGGATGGAGAAACAGGTTTGTCACTGACTGCAGGCACACAAGGGAGAAGTTTCCCCTCAGATGATCAAGGACACACTTTTGAGATGGATTTGTGGCGGAATAAACTGAAATAAGGGATGTCTGAAAATAGAGGTGGCAGTCAAATTAAGGAAAAAAATGAATTTAAGGCATTTTGTCCTGCTTAAAAATGCCTGAAAATAGACATGGCAGTAAAATTAAGGAAAAAATGAATTTAAGGCATTTTGTCCTGCTGAAACATGTCTGAAAATAGAGATGGCAGTAAAATTAAGGAAAAAAATGAATTTAAGGCATTTTGTCCTGCTTAAAAATGCCTGAAAATAGACATGGCAGTAAAATTAAGGAAAAAAAGAATTTAAGATATTTTGTCCTGCTTAACCATGTCTGAAAATAGAGATGGCAGTAAAATTAAGGAAAAAATGAATTTAAGATATTCTGTCCTGCTTAAAAATGTCTGAACATAGAGATGGCAGTGTCCCCATGCCATGAGCTGTCCCTCTGCTGCTCCTCGTGCACAGGCACTGCTTCAAACTGCAAACTGGAGCAGTAAAATTAAGGAAAAAATGAATTTAAGGCATTTTGTACTGCTGAAATGTGTCTGAAAAGAGAGATGGCAGTAAAATTAAGGAAAAAATGAATTTAAGCCATTTTGTCCTCCTTAACCATGTCTGAAAATAGAGATGGCAGTAAAATTAAGGAAAAAATGAATTTAAGCCATTCTGTCCTGCTTAAAAATGCCTGAAAATAGAGATGGCAGTGTCCCCATGCCATGAGCTGTCCCTCTGCTGCTCCTCGTGCACAGGCACTGCCTCAACAGTACCAGGCTGCAAACTCGAGCAGGAAAATTAAGGAAAAAATTAATTTAAGCCATTCTGTCCTGCTGAAACATGTCTGAAAATAGAGATGGCAGTAAAATTCAGGAAAAAATGAATTTGAGCCATTTTGTCCTGCTTAAAAATGTCTGAAAATAGAGATGGCAGTGTCCCCATGACATGAGCTGTCCCTCTGCTGCTCCTCATGCACAGGCACTGCTTCAAAATGCAAACTGGGGCAGTAAAATTAAGGAAAAAATGAATTTAAGGCATTTTGTCCTGCTGAAACATGCCTGAAAATAGAGATGGCAGTAAAATTCAGGAAAAAAAGAATTTAAGATATTTTGTCCTGCTTAAAAATGCCTGAAAATAGAGATGGCAGTAAAATTCAGGAAAAAATGAATTTAAGGCATTCTGTACTGCTTAACCATGTCTGAAAATTACACACAGTGAAATAATCATGGACTTTTTTTAGATGATACATGACAAAAAATTTCAAAAAGCTACCCAAAGCAAAGCCTGCGCTCTTACATTCATGTCCTGGCTCTCCTCCTCTGGGTCACCTCTGCTCACCCCACACGCCTGGAGGGGCTCAGCAGTCTCTCCCTGCTTCAGGATGCTCTTATCAACGCTCTCCATGCGCTGCCTCTCCGTGGTGATTTTCAGTTTCAGCAGGTGGAAGGGCGTTGGCACTTCCCCCACGTTCAGGTACATGGGCTCCTCCTGGAACAGCAGCCCCGCGTCCTTGGCCTCCTTGAAGCCTGGGGGTTGGTAATCAGGGGGGGTAACTGCAGAGAGATGGAATGGTTTAGGTCCTGCAAAACGGATTTTAACTCTTTTCTCCTTTAAACACAGAGAGTTACTGTAAAAAACTGTGTGGGGAGGGGAATAATCAATATTGAGTTTGAGGGAATGAAGCACAACAGGCAAAGCTCTTTGGAAGAGGTTGTGGATACAGAGAGAGAAAACAGAAGCTCTGATTTGTCACTGTAAGGCAGAGAAATGCATGTTTTAGATCTTGCAAAACTGATTTTAACTCTTCTCTCCTTTAAATATAGAGAGTTACTGCAAAAAACTGTGTGTGGAAGGGAATAATCAATATCGAGTTTGGAACAAATGAAGCACAACAGGCAAAGCCCTGATAAAGCTGTTTGGAAGAGGTTATGGATACAGAGAGAGAAAATAGAAGCTCTGATTTGTCACTGTAAGGCAGAGAAATGAATGTTTTAGATCTTGCAAAACTGATTTTAACTCTTTTCTCCTTTAAAATCAGAGAGTTACTGTAAAAACTGTGTGTGGAGGGGAATAATCAATATTGAGTTTGGAGTAAATGAAGCACAACAGGCAAAGCTCTGGTAAAGCTCTTTGGAAGAGGTTGTGGATACAGAGAGAGAAAACAGAAGCTCTGATTTGTCACTGTAAGGCAGAGAAATGAAATGCTTTTTAACTCTTTTCTCCTTTAAATATAGAGAGTCACAGCAAAAAAAACTGCTTGGGGAGGGGAATAATCAATAGTGAGTTTGGAGTAAATGAAGCACAACAGGCAAAGCCCTGGTAAAACTCTTTGAAGGTTGTGGATACAGAGAGAGAAAATAGAAGCTCTGATTTGTCACTGTAAGGCAGAGAAATGAAATGTTTTAGATCTTGCAAAACTGATTTTAACTCTTTTCTCCTTTAAATACAGAGGGTTACTGCAAAAACTGCGTGGGGAGGGGAATAATCAATGTTGAGTTTGGAGTTTGATTTTCCAGAATACCCTCATCATAGTAGAGGAGTTTCATGGTGAGGCAGACGTCGCTGGGCAGGGGGCTCAGGTTCTGCATCAGGATGTAGATCTTGCGGATGAGGAGGATGCTGGCCCTCTTGGTGTCTGCACAGCTGATGGGGCACTCCGACTTGTCCTTGCTGGAAACACACAGCAACACCTGAGCTTTTGTTGCGTTGGGATCTCAGGGTTTAGCTCAGAACCTCGGGTCCCTCCCCTGATAATTCCCTGCCAGGTTTATCAATCATTTCTGCTTTCCCCTCCCAGCGCTGCCTGTCACTCCTGGAATTCCAGAAGGGCAGGGAGTGATTGGCACATTCAAACCCCTGGGTGGGCACTGGGCCATCCAGGTGTCCTTTGTCCCTTTGTCCCTGCTTGGTGGCTCCCTGCCCCTTCCCTGGGGTTCAAAGGAGCAGCAACCACGGGCTCAGGGAGTTCTCTTGGAGCTGGTGCTGCATTCAGAGAACAAAGCTCTGGATCCAAACCCTCCATCAGAACCGACTCCTTTCCTTCACCATCACCTTAAAGCTTCTCCACAGAGGGAAACCTGAGGAGCAGCCCCTGTTATGGGGGGAAGCTCCATCCCAGCAGCACCAGTGGGATGGAACAGAACCCTAATCCTAACCCCTAACCCTAAACCTGACCGACTAAACCTGCAGGCCTGGACTTGTCTCCATGAACCCAACTGCAACACCCAGCCAGCCAAAAGTGTCTGTGGGGTGAAACACCACATACCCAGCCAGCCAAAAATGGGTTGAAACACCACATACCCAGCCAAAAGTGTCTGTGGGGTGAAAACACCACAAATCCAACCAGCCAAAAATGGGGTGAAACACCACACACCCATCAGCCCAAAGTGTCTGTGGGTGAAACACCACACATCCACAGCCAAAAGTGTGTGTGGGGTGAAACACCACAAATCCACAGCCAAAAGTGTCTGTGGGGTGCAACACCACAAATCCACAGCCAAAAATGGGGTGAAACACCACAAATCCAGCCAGCCCAAAGTGTCTGTGGGGTGAAACACCACGGTTTGCCACTTTTTGGTTCAGCACCAAGGGCCAGACAAGCTCAGGCTGAATTGGTAAACATTCCAGTAAAATTTAATGCAGAGTGAGCAGTTTCATTCTCTGTTTGTTAACAAACATTCATTGCCTCAGGTCTGAGATGGAGCACTGCAGTTCCTAACCCTGCCTGAGTCCTGCACGTTCTCTGCCCTATGGGAGATCAAACCCTGAGCCAGAGACATCAGCAGAGTTCAGGGATCAGCACCTGGCACCAACTGCTCCATCCTGCACCACACAGTGCCTAAATACCCCAAAGAAATACTGAAATGAAGAGAAAACGAGGCACTTGTGAAAGCCTCACTTCTGGGAAGCGCTTTCCCTTAAATAAAGGCTCTCTTCAAGTTTCCTCAACACTGAACATATTTAGGTTCTCTAAATGTCTCCTCAACACTAAAAATTTTCTACAAATCTATTTCCCTCAATTGGTAATGATAATAAACCTGGTGCAGAAGTGACTCCTGGCATCCAGGTCCAACATTTCCACCTGAAATCCAGAATCCCAGCTCAAAGCCAAAACCTCTCCTGCTCCCCAGCTCCTCCCACCCGAGGGCCTGCAGAGCAGGGCAAGGATCTCCTGGTTCTCCTTTTCTATTTTAAGGAGCATTTGATGCAGGAGGGAAGCTGGGAGGAGTTTGAACTGTATTTTAATTAATTGTTTTAAAATAAGTCATTTTTCTGTAGCTGTGACCGAGCAAAATGTTGTGGGGTTTGTTTTGTTTTGGGTTTTTTTTGGATTTTTTTTGGGTTTTACCTGCCAAAATCCAGGAGTGGCCCATTGTGGGTGTACTTGAACTTGAAGTGGTAACACTCAGTGACTGTCTGCAAACAAAGCCAGGATTAATTAATTAATTATGAAATTAATTAATTATTAAATTAATTATTAAATTCTAAACACTCCTGCTGCAGCTCTGCTCACTAATCTGTCAGCCTTTAAAGGAAATAACTGAAACCCAACTCCCATGTGCTGAATACAGCTTCCTAATCCTCTAACAATTAACAGCAAAAAAATGCATAAAACTGTTTAAAACTTCATAAAAATGATGATTCTTTTCCAGGAATCAGTGTGATCAAATATTTTGAAAATCAGCTGAAGTTTTTAGCATAAAATATTCCAGTTTGAATGAAAATTTGTGGGACACACAGTGGGTTTTGTGTTTTCCATAAAAGTCCCACAAATTTGTTAAGCAGAGTCAGGATGGGACATTTCACCCTGCAGTGATATTTTGGTTTCTGAAAACACTCAAATGTAATTCCACACATGGCAATTCTCACTGTAAAAATTCCCATTTTTACAGCTGGTAATTTCAAATAATTTCAAAATGCTCTTTTTAAACAGAGGTGCATGTTAAATATTCCTGTTTGCACCCACTGTATTTCACCATATCCACATTATCACCAGGGAGATATTCCAGCAGATTTACCTGAGGCTCTTCTGTCTGGGTATAAACCTGTGGTTTTGAAGAAAAATAAAGGAAAAGAAAATAAAGAATGAGAACTGCACATTCCTCAAAGAATATCCCTCAAAAATGCCCCTGCCTTTCAGAGATACTCACTGCCAGGACAATCTGTCTCAGCTGTCAGGAACATAAACAGGGAAAAAAAAAAAACCAAAAAAAAAGAACATTAAATATATTTCATTGCAACATTAAATATATTTCATTGCCCATCTGTGCTGCCCAAACTGCTTTTCTCTAGCTCTGAAATCCAACCCAGGCAATTAAAGCCCGCAGGAATAAAAATTTCTTCCTCTGTTGAGGAGGAGAGGATTGAGCTGCAGAGAAAACACCCACAGATCCCTCTCTGGTTTTTTGTGCTGCTGTTTGCAAGAGTTTGATGCAGAAACGTTTGTGCATCCCACACTGCAGCTGAGTGAGCTCAGTGAAATCAAAATTGCATTAAAACTGAAATAAGAGTGGAAAAAACTCACATATTTCTTCTGCAAGGCATCATAGCATCCCAACATCCTGCAAAAAGCAAAGAACATTGGCCAGCAACTGCTGATTTGCATTCGTTTCTCACTAACAGCACCAAAAAAATGAAAATTTTGTGTTTATTCTTACTGGATTAAAGTAATAATAACACTTATCCATCATTCCATCTTATTGGCAGTGATACAAAATGTGTAACACCAAATCATCCCAACCTATTAAATGAGTAATTAAAAATATAATCTGGAGGTAATTCAATTTAAAATGTAATCTAGAGGTAAATCAATTTAAATATAATCTGGAGGTAAATCAATTTAAAATATAATCAGGAGGTAAATCAATCAAAATATAGTCTGGAGGTAAATCAGTTTAAAATATAATCTGGAGGTAAATCAATTTAAATGTAATCTGGAGGTAAATCAATTTAAATGTAATCTGGAGGTGAATCAATTTAAATATAATCTGGAGGTAAATCAATTTAAATATAACCTGGAGGTAAATCAATTAAAATATAGTCTGGAGGTAAATCAGTTTAAAATTGTAATCTGGAGGTAAATCAATTTAAATGTAATCTGGAGGTAAATCAATCAAAATACAATCTGGAGGTAAATCAATTTAAATATAACCTAGGGGTAAATCAATTAAAATATAACCTGGAGGTAAATCAATTAAAATATAACCTGGAGGTAAATCAATTAAAAATACAATCTGGAGGTCTGAATTGAGCTGAATTTTACTGAATTGATCAGTAAAAACACATTGTAATGCTTCAAACACCTTCCAACACAAATATTCATTAATCAGGGGAGCAGTTTGGTCTGGAGGAAGTTCAAGGTCCCTTCCAGCCCAAACCATTCCATGATTTTATTATCATTTATAATTACTGATTTATAAATCAGTAATTCAGCTGATCAGCAACATTGCTGAAGCATAAAGAAATTTTTACCTTGATTTAGATGTTGCTATTTACTTTTTATGCAAGACCCAATTAGGGAATCAAAATTTACCCTATGATTTTTTTTTTTTCTTAGAGTCAACAAACAAAAATTGGGTGTGTTTACTAAATGAAGAAATTAATTAAAATAAAATCTGTGAGATCTTTAAATTTCAGCTGCAAAATGGTGGCTTTGAATCTCCTCATCAACTAGAGAGGAACTGCTTTTAGATTTTTGCATTTTTGTGCATCCTTGAGTGCTCATATTCAGAGGAATTAAGTCTACAAATCCATAATGTTAGATATTTAGTGTTTATTTAGTTTATTTAGTGTTAGATATTTAGTGTTTATTTAGTTTATTTAGTGTTAGATATTTAGTGTTTTATTTATTTATGCTCAGAGGAATGAAGCATACAAATCCATAGTGTTAGATATTTAGTGTTTATTTAGTTCATTTAGTGTTAGATATTTAGTGTTTATTTAGTTTATTTAGTGTTAGATATTTAGTGTTTTATTTATTTATGCTCAGAGGAATGAAGCATACAAATCCATAGTGTTAGATATTTAGTGTTTATTTAGTTCATTTAGTGTTAGATATTTAGTGTTTTACCTATTTAGCTCATGCTCAGAGGAATGAAGTATACAAATGCATAGTGTTAGATATTTAGTGTTTATTTAGTTTATTTGGTGTTAGATATTTAGTGTTTATTTAGTTTATTTGGTGTTAGATATTTAGTGTTTTATTTATTTAGCTCATGCTCAGAAGAATGAAGCATACAAATGCATATTGTTAGATATTTAGTGTTTATCAAATTAATTAATTAATTAAAATAAAATCTGTGAGACATTTAAATTTCAGATGCAAAATGGTGGCTTTGAGTCTCCTCATCAACTAGAGAGGAACTGCTTTTAGATTTTTGCATTTTTGTGCATCCTTGAAGTGCTCATGCTCAGAGGAATGAAGTATACCAATACATAGTGTTAGATATTTAGTGTTTATTTAGTTTATTTAGTGTTAGATATTTAGTGTTTTATTTATTTATGCTCAGAGGAATGAAGCATACAAATCCATAGTGTTAGATATTTAGTGTTTATTTAGTTTATTTAGTGTTAGATATTTAGTGTTTTATTTATTTAGCTCGTGCTCAGAGGAATAAAGTATACAAATAGTGCTAGATATTTAATGTTTATTTAGTTTATTTAGTGTTAGATATTTAGTGTTTATTTAGTTTATTTAGTGTTAGATATTTAGTGTTTTATTTATTTATGCTCAGAGGAATGAAGCATACAAATCCATAGTGTTAGATATTTAGTGTTTATTTAGTTTATTTAGTGTTAGATATTTAGTGTTTTATTTATTTAGCTCGTGCTCAGAGGAATAAAGTATACAAATAGTGCTAGATATTTAATGTTTATTTAGTTTATTTAGTGTTAGATATTTAGTGTTTATTTAGTTTATTTAGTGTTAGATATTTAGTGTTTTATTTATTTAGCTCGTGCTCAGAGGAATGAAGCATACAAATACATTGTGTTAGATATTTAGTGTTTATTTAGTAAATATAAAGTATTTAATAAATATATAGTCACTCTGCAAACAGAGATTTGTGCTGTCCTAAGCCCTGAGCTGAAAATACCATTGTGACACAAATGTGGGATTTGCCTTTTTCTGCAAACAGCCAGGAAGGAACCTTTGAGCATTTGGATGCTGAGGAAATCTTACCTGTGTGCAATCAACTTACCATTTCACCAGCTGGCTAGAGCCAGGAGAGTTTTTGTCTTCCCGCAGAATTTTCACACAAATTTCTCAAAAAAAAAAACCCAAAAAAAACACACACACATTAACTTAGGACAAAGTGCAATGAAAAGTTCAATGCCTAAAAGCACATATCAAGAAGAGACTAAAATTAACATTACTGACAAGTGTGAGCATCATTTTAATGCTCGGTTAGCAGCAGCAATAACAAAATGTAATTTATTAATATGTGAAATTTCCATTCCATGCATCAAAATGACATCCACTCATTAAAAAGACCAAATGGCCTTAAAAACAACTCCATGACAAGAATTTTTGTAAATTCTGATGGAAGCAGCCCCTTACCATCCATGTATCTGGTTCCATAGGCACTTTCAGGGAAGATTCCCCTCAGGTAAGTGATGCAGGACACTGCCACTGCCAGGAGCCTCTTCACCAGCATCAGGGATTGCTGCTCCGTGGCAATTTTATTGGGAAATACAACTGCACTCTGAAAATCCCAGCAAGAAACCAATGAATTTTTATGATTTATAAAGTTAAGCACATTCCTTACGCTTGGTGTTACAGTATTTGTAGGACACAGCTGGTTTCTACCAATCAAACAACAAAGTTAAGATTGTTTTTCTATAATTTTTTCTAGATATTCTTTATTCATCATTAAAAGACCAAACTAGCCTGCTATTTTCACAGAGCACCTGGATGCACTATTCCAGCCAAAATTCCCCCATTTTTCCCGTTATTGTGCTGAAATACACAAACAAAACCATACCACAGAATTCCTTTGCTTCTGAGCAGTTGCCATTCTGCAGGGATTCCTGTGCCTGTCAATAAAACACCTTCATTAGCACCTGGATAAGGAAAAAGGGGCTGCAGCTTCTCCAGGGCATTCCCTGGATTTACAAACACCTCCTGCACAACTCACCAGCTCAAATAAACCTGTGTTTTTCACAAAACAGAGCAGGATGGCTCCTCTGATCATCCTCAGTATCAGGTTCTTGATTTTCACGGCTTCCCTGAGGCTACAGGATGCAATAATTAGAATGTTTATATCTGTATTTCTATGAAATATGAACATCTAAAAGCAGTTCTCTTCAGTACTAACTGGTGCCCAACCTACAGGATTTTCAAAGGAGTTTAGGAAAATGCTCCCCACATTTCGAACACCCCCAGACTTGAGTGGTTTTCATCTATAATTTAAATGAGTGTGGGAGAATCTGAACCCTCACCACTCTAAGCCTGACTCCACACAAACATTCCCCCCAACTCAGGAATAACAAATTCACCCACGCCCGAGGAAAACACCTTCCCCAAGTTAGAAATAAGGTCTGGATCACGAGGGGCACCGAGTTCCCCTCAGTAATCCTCCATAAACCCCCTGATTGCGGCACAGGGCGGCTGTGAGGAAGGAGCCGCTCCCCTCAGCCTCAGCCCAGAAACCACCACCTGCTTCGAGGGAAACTGAGGCAAGCGCGAAGACACAACGCTGCAAAGCAGCGCGGGGCGGCGGGCAACAAAACTCGGAGGTGAGGTGAGAGAGATAATCGAGGAAAAATTGAAGAAGAGTGTAAGGAGAGAGATGAGGGAAGGAAGTTGAAAGAGATGAGAGAAGCGCCCGCCCTCACCCTCAGGGCGCCTTTCCCGCCCTCGCCCTCAGCCGGCTCCGCCGCGGGGCCGTGCGCAAACGCAGGGGGCGGGGCTTGCCTGCAGGGGGCGGGGCTTGCCCTCAGCCGGCGCACCGCGCATGCGCGGCTCTGCCCCGGCTGTGAGGGGTCTGGGGGTTGTGCAATGTTCTGGGCTGTGAGGGAATTACAAAGATTTTCTTTTTAATTTTTCATCACTGGTGCTGCATTGACACCCCAAAAACCCCACCCTAAAAGCGTTGTCCGAACGTTTCTGGAGGTCTGGCAGCTTTGGGTCAGCGCCATCACCCTCTGGGGGAAGAACCTTTCCTGATAATCCAATTTAAACCTCGCTGACGCAGCTCCAGCCATTCCCTCACACCTTATAATATTGGCTTTTCGCAAATATTCAAATGGATTCTGTATGTGTGATGTTAAAGTAACTTTGTTATAAAGGTATGGGTTTTATTTTTGCCTTGGGATAAAATGGCACACAGTGTGTCCAAACTCCAGCTGGACCAAAACAAAGTAACATATTTAGGCTTCATATTGGGGAAACGGCATAATCCTGGGGATAACACACGTAGGAATAATTAATAATAAAAAAGGACCCCTTTAGGACACAGTTTTTATTTAAGGCTGTGAATTTGAATGAAGTTTTGTGCAATGGGTGGATGATTTGTTGTTAACAAGCAGTGATAAGAATGCCTTTACATTACACACTGTAATTTCTGTATTGCCCTGGGCTAAAATGGCATCCAAACTCCATCTGGGCCAAAACAAAGTTACATATTCACACTTAATTTTGGGAAAACAGCATAATCCTTGGGATAATACACGTGGGAATAATAAAGGAGGTGATCTTTGGGCTCCTTTTAGACATTTTAATTTCTGTATTGCCTTGGGATAAAATGGCACATGGCGTGTCCAAACTCCAGCTGGGCCAAAACAAAGTTACATATTGTTATAAATTACAAGCTTGACTAGGCCAATATTCAAGCAGCAATCAATTTATTAATTAATATGGTAAAGTATGGGCAACACAGTGTTGGGTACAGTGGGGGAAGTTTTTCCCTCCAACTGCACACCCATAGTTGAGGGTTACAGGTATTTATAGGGGTACTCATCAGCTTTCTCAGCAGTTTCTATTCCCAATTTTTACATCACAATTCTATACACTATTGTGATTTAGTTTTTAATTTAATCCTTGAGTTGATGTTCATCTTCCTTTCTCAAGCTGCTTTTCAGTTTTGTTAAGGCGTGAGATAAGCATGTTTCATTTTTATATATTCTAAAGCTATAGTTTCAAAGATTCTTACTACAAGCAATATTCTAAAATTATACTTCAAAAGGTTAATATTGCAAAATTCTTTAAGGCTGAACTACAAGCAGAAAGTTCCTGTCAAAAAGCAACATCCTTAACACTTTAATTCAAATGCTCCTAAATCAACTTAGGAGCATTTAATTAAATGTAAAGGTTAACCTTCAGTAACTTTACCTTTAGTAAGGTTTAGTAACTTAACGTTTAGTAACATTACCTTTAGTAAAGGTTAACATTTAGTAAAATGCATAAAGGTTAATTGTGAGCAAAAGATAGGTTCAAAGCCCTTTTTCCATGTTTTACTTTCCTCAGTAATTTATTAGAATTCGTCTTTATAACTGTCCCATGGTCGGTCTCCACACATATCACAATCGCAAATACACACCTTGCCTGTATGTACCTGACACGAAACACAGCTTTGTATTTCACAATATTTATGCTTAATTTTGGGGAAATGACACAATCCTTGGCATAGCACACATGGAAACAACAGCGGGGCTGATCCGGGTGATCTTTGTGCTCCTTTCCCTCACAACCCCCGGCCCGCAGGGCCATGTCCGTCCCCATGGCAGCGACCGGAAGTGGCCGCGCCGTCTCCATGGCAACGGGCGGAAGCGGCGACGCGCGGCGGGCGCGGAGCCGGAAGTGACGCCCGGCAGCCGTGGCGGCCATGTCGGCGGGCAGCGGAGCGCAGCGGGACGCGGGGGCCACGGGCGGGTGAGGCGCGGCCGTGGCGGCTCGGGCGGCCCCGGTGCCGCTCGGAGCAGCGCCTCACGCTCCCTCTGTGTTTTCCAGGCGCCGCAGCAAGTGGGATCAGCCCGGCCCGGCTCCTAATTTCCTCCTCCCCGGCACGGCGCCGCTGCCCGGGCGGCCGTTCCCCGGTGGGGGCGGCGATGGCGGCGCCGCCGTGGCCGGGTCCGAGAGCTCCGCGGCGCCCTCGGGAGCGCTGGATGCGGCCGCGGCCGTGGCGGCGAAGATCAACGCGATGCTGATGGCCAAAGGGAAGCTGAAGCCGGCGCCCAGCACGGCGGACAAGGTGGGTGGTTCGGTGGGCGCGGGGGTGGTTCAGCAAATTGCCATAAAAATAGTCAGAAATAATTTAAAAAATACTTTTCCATCCTAACAATAAGCAGTGCATGGCTGTGAGGTCAGATTTTACCAAAGCCACCTGTAGGGAGGTGAAAAAGTTTTTTTATTTCTCAAAAACGTAGAATATTCTGAGTCGTGAGGGAGGCACGAGGATTTTTGCAGAGAGCAGAGCTGATGGAAAAACTCAGCGTGAAACAACTGCTTTAAAATATGGGACCAAATTATTTTAGTGCCTGAAGAAATTACAGTATGAGCTGTAATTCCAAGTCCTAACCAGCTTATTCAGCTTTTGCTGAGCCCTGCCCTGAGCTTGGCTGACCCTGATGAGCTCAGGCAGCTGGACTGGAGTGTTCCTCTTAAATAATCTTTTTTATTCTAAGTAAAGTGGGACTTCAAGCTTCCAGTCACAGCCTTGTCTTGCTTTTCTGCCTGTGCTAGAGCCAAGTTTAGAAGCTGTTTCAAATTTCATGGAGCCACAGCTTGGTTTGGGTTGGAAGAGACCTTAGAGCTGATCCTGTCCCACCCCTGCCGTGGGCAGGGACGCCTTCCACCATGAAAGGGGTGAACTAGAAGGATGTTATTTTATAAATATGTGCTAAAGATAAATCCAGTTTTTATCTGGATTTATTTGGGCTGATCGAGCAGAAATTCCAATGTGCTTTCCTGTGCAATCTGTAAAGATTTTTTCAATGAGTAATCTATAAAGATTTTGCCTTTAACAACTAAAAGGGGTGAAGAAGAAGGATGTTATTCCATGAATATGTGGTGAAGATAAATCCGGTTTTTATCTGGATTTATTTGGGCAGATCCAGCAGAAATTCCAATGTGCTTTCCTGTGCAATCTGTAAAGATTTTTTCAATGTGGAATCTGTAAAGATTTACCTTTAACAACTGAAAGGGGTGAACAAGAAGGATGTTATTTTATTAATATGTGCTAAAGATAAAGCCAGTGTGTTTATTTGGGCTGTGAGGAGGCAGATCCAGCAGAAATTCCAATGTTCTTTCCATTAATCTCTGTAAAGATTTTGCCTTCAACAACTAAAAGGGGTGAACAAGAAGGATGTTATTCATGTTATTTTATGAATATGTGCTGAAGATAAATCCAGTTTTTATCTGGATTTATTTGGGCAGATCCAGCAGAAATTCCAATGTGCTTTCCTGTGCAATCTGTGAGGATTTTTTCAATGTGCAATCTGTAAAGATTTTGCCTTTAACAACTTAAAGGAGTGAACAAGAAGGATGTTATTCATGTTATTCCATGAATATGTGTTGAAGATAAATCCAGTTTTTTCTGGATTTATTTGGGCAGATCCAGCAGAAATTCCAGTGTGCTTTCCATTAATCTCTGTAAAGATTTTGCCTTCAACAACTAAAAGGGGTGGACAAGAATAATATGTGCTAAAGATAAATCCAGTGTGTTTATTTGGGCTGTGAGGAGGCAGATCCAGCAGAAATTCCAATGTGCTTTCCTGTGCAATCTGTAAAGATTTTTTTCAATGTGCAATCTGTAAAGATTTTGCCTTCAACAACTAAAAGGAGTGAACCAGAAGGATGTTTACCTCTCAAATTTGTTTGTGCTTTTATTTTCCACTTTTGCAACTCTCTTTGAAGCTGCAGGCTCTGGGCAAAGGTCCAGCCACGAGTAAAAGCAAAGATGACCTTGTGGTGGCCGAGGTGGAGATCAATGATGTGCCCCTGACGTGCAGGAACCTGCTGACCAGGGGCCAGACCCAGGACGAGGTATGTCCCACACCCCCAGTGTCACATTTGGAT